AGAAAGATAAAATTGAAACATTTCGAAAGGAAAAGTGAGAACCTGCCACGAACTTGACCACCACCACCGACACAACCACCACCACCCCCCCACCATCATCATCATAATTATCATGATCGTAGTTGGAAAGAAAGTGAAAAAAAAATCTATCGATCGATTATCTTCTCACATGCACACGCTGTAAAAATAAATGCAACTGGATTATAATCATTCTAAAAAAATGTTATGATCATAGGGAATGAAATAAAATAAATACATTTGCAAAATTCATGGAAAAACATTTCAATTGAATGACATGAACAAAAAAAAATGTGACATAGTAACAGTACACTGTAACAAAAAAAAAAAAAAATATGTTGATATAATGAAACGAATCGAATCATTTATCTGAAATGATTGATTTTAAGATTCAGGAATTGTGTGATTGTGTGAGTGTGTGTGTGTGTGAAGTAAACAGTTAACAAAAACTAAAACAAATCGAATGTATGTCAATCCTTTATGGCTAATATTAAAAGATTTTCATTTTTAATCATTTTTTTCCACCCATTTTCTTTTTGTTGTTTTTTTAACCGAAAAAACTTTGATATTTTCTTTTTTTTTTTTTTTTTTTTCCAATCAAATACAGTTAGATTTGAAAATGTTAGTGAAAAATAAGCTACATACACACACATAAAAAAAAAAAAAATTCTAATCACTTATCATTTTGGGCGTCAAAGGCTAACATTTCGATAGTTTATTTGATTATTTATCGTTAAAGATAAGAAGATACCAGAAATGAATGTATAGTAGTGCTTCATTTAAATGTTTGACGTTTATTATTCAAACGATTTGGTATATGTGTGTGTGTAAAAGACGATCTTGTTTTCAATAATTTTTTTTTCATGTTTTCAAATATTGTGTTTAGGTTTTTTTTTGAATCAAAGTTTTTTTTTGTTTTTAAATTTTTTTCATCAGAATTTTTTTAAATTTCCGTTTGGATTTTTGTTTCCATTGTGTATGTCCAATGTCAAATATGCATAGAAATAATACGTTTGCTTCCACATATTAATAAAGATATGCATATGAATATATGATGGCTTCATTTGACATATATCAACATCATATTGCATGATGTAAATCACTAAGTATCCAATGAAACAAGAGAAAAAAAAAATTTCGATTCGATAATGTATTTCCCTTTCTACTTGCACATTTCAAAAAACATATACCCAGTTTTTATATAACTACTTTAACAATTGGATTTCGATCATCATCATCATCATCATCAACATTGATCATGATGAATATCCATCATCATAAGTACCCATTGCATATCATAGCATAGCATAAATGATTATCATGATTATGGTGATGTTGATGATGATGATGATGATGATGATGGTGATCATGAACTTATTTAAAAAGCCAACTTTTCAATCATATTAATCATTGGTCGTCATTAATAATCAACAATACCTCAGTAGTAAATAGAATTTTAATTTATATATATGAATTATCATCATCATAATCATAATCATCATATTTATTTAATCTCATTGTATATTGTGTGAATTAATTCATCAAATTTCAACTGTAAAAAAAAATTCATACTATAAGTAACAACAATCTAAAAAAAAAGACAATTCTACATCGATCTCAATACCCGATTGATCATCATGCATTCTCAAATTAAGGTAAATAATCCTTTTTACTGAAAAATTTTTTTTTTTGATGCTTACAACTTTTGAATGAATGAATGCACACTATGTCAAATCTTTCTGTTTTATTGCAAACGACATGAAAATGTCAAAATATGGTACCGCCTTTTATGACACTGACCAAATATATATATTATATATAGAGAAAGAGATAAAGACTAACCGTTATATATTTGTTTATGAACCAAATGAATGGATGATTAGACTGGTGGATAGATGAATGATATGTAAGCGCGCGCACACACACACGCGTATCGGAATCTTGTGGCATGTTGATCTCGATTCAAGTTCCAAAATGGCTTCATGGACCATTTAGTATTTAGACACAGAATCGATATGTTTGTGCAATAACATATGCATTTACATTCTTTATAAATTTTTTTTTCAAGACACAGGTAGCCACCATAGAATAATCAACATGTAAATAGTTGATTTGAAATTTTAAATAAAAATTCTGTACAATGAAAAGTTGAATGATGTAAAAATAAATGAATATAATCGAATTCTTTAATATTCACAACGTTGAACAACTAAACGTCTTCTTTGTCGGTATTATTTATTTTTCAAATTCTTGATTCATTCGAATTACTCACTCGTCGACATCTCCATCAGTCTATTGTTAGCATCCAAGCCGTCAACTTGTTGGCTATATGTGTGTGTGTGTGTGCGTGCGTATGTGTATGTTTATATCTAAGAAAATCTGGTTTTTATACTTTTAAGAATTTTCTCTATTTTTTTTGCTTATATAAAAGAAATTTATCTTCCAAAAACTTGTGTCAACTTTTAATCATTGAATTTTAAATTAGAAAAAAAATTAAAATCAATTTTCAATTAAATTAAATTGAAATTCAAAAAAAAAAATGATCATTATGATTTTATGTGTATCGTGACAATTTTTTCAAATTTTGAATTATTCTTAATTCAAAATATGTTTCTGTCTTTTTCTAATGTGATATGTCTATGTGTTTGATAATATCATCATCATCATCATCATCAGCTGACAGCTAAAATGAGACATCCAAACATTACCATTATTATTGTCGTTGTCACTTAATACGTGATTCGCATATGACGGCATTGATTTGTAAGTATTTGAAAAAAAACGTGCTTATGAAAATATACAAAAATGTGAACAGTAGTATGAAAAAAAAAACAATTTGGAATCTCGTGAAATAAATTCTAAATTATTATTTTCAAAAAAAAAAAATGGATGAAAATGTTTTGCTATCAAACAAAAACGTTTGGTTTCCACGGGATAATAAATCACTGATGGCCATTGATCAGATCATTGATTTGACCTTTTCGTTCGTTCATGTATATTCGTTTGTCAGTGTGTGTGTGTGCGTGTGTGTTTATATGGTACATGATTTTTACATTTTTAAAAAAAAGTTTGACAACATACAGAATTACTTTCTCTGATAAAAGAATTCACAAAGATTTGACAAACATAAAGAATCATTACTGTTCTTTTTTTTTCCGAGTGTGTAAAGTACGTATGTTTCGTACGTAAAAAAAAAAATGAGTGTGAACAAACAAAATCTCAAGTTGAAATCTTTTTTTTTCTTTCTTTCTTTCTTTCATCATTCACCACTTACTTTATTTTTATCGCTTGAATTGAATCAATTCTACTAGGGATTTGTTCGAAAAAAAAGTCGCTCATTTATTCTTTCAATTTTCAATTGTTGTTGTTGTCATTTTCTCGCTCTAAAAAAAAATTGTTTAATATTTGTTTTTTCACTTGATCACACTTGATTTATAAATCCTGATTTTGTTGTTTTTTTTTCTTTGTTACTATTTATTGAACTAAGCTGGCCACTTTAAAGTTTCTGTAACATTTGAACTATTACTTCCGATTTATGTGATAAACAAATATTTTTTTTTTTGTTATGAAGTGAAAATTTGCACTTGAATTCTTTTATACAGAATTTTTGAATATGAATGAATGAATTCATGATTTTTTAATTTCAATGAAAAAAACATGAATTTTTTTTTAAAGAAATTCTGACTAACGTATACGTGCAATTCGAGTGATGTTGTTGAAGAATTTGACAATTCAAAATGAGAATTTTTTTTTTCGCAAACTTTTTTTTCACCCGAAATAGAAAAAAAAAATCAAAGTTTCAATTGATTAATTTTGATTGAAAATATATATGAAAATTTAAAATTTCTAAATTCAAATAATTCAATCAAACACATTGATTTACATATTTGTGATTTTGCAATATGATTGAACATTCACATCATATATGTAAATACACACACACACACATAGACACAAGATGACAAACAAATATGCAAATGAACTTATAATGAGCTCAATTAAAGATGAATGACAAAATGTTTTGGTGTATGGTGTTTGTGTAGGAGTGTGAAAATATTAAAAAATAAATGAATGATGGTTGAACCTATATTTCATGTTTTGACAAAGATAAAGGCCAAGAGAGAGAGAGAGAGAGAGAGAGAGAGTGCGAAATTTCAAACTTGTTATGTATGTGTGTATGTGTGATATAAAAATGCCGTCTTGCGTGATTGAGTTTGCGCTTGAAACGGCCATCCATCCATCCATTATCTATTTATTTTTCAAATATATAACATATATACAAACATTTATAATAATAAAATGATGATGGTGATGATGAATACTGTTGGCGATGTTTGAGGTGGGCCGATACAATAGAAAAAATGAGAGAGAGAGAATGGTGAGAATAAAAAAAAATCAAAATTAAAATTGCGCATATACAACACATATATGTGAATAAAACGAATGTGAGGAAAATAATCAAAATGACAATTAGAATGAAAAAGAATGGATGAATTGCTCAGTTACACTGTGATCATCATCGATTCTGTCTGTATATAACATAAAGCATATAATACATGCACACATTGATTCTGTTAAGAGACGACAACCATCCTACAAGCAGAATTTTTTTGTGTGTGTGTGTGTGTATATATATTCGTGTGAATCATAGAATGTCTTATGTCGCCCGACGCCCGTTATATACGTCATTGTATAATATAACTACTATACTAATTGTAGTCCTCATTCTTTACCATGCGAATAAAATTGTGTTCACAAAATCGACAATTCACATATATATACACAATACACACACATAGGAATGAACAGATTATCATTATATATGGCTGCTTTCACATACACACTCACACATACATAAACGAATGTGATTTGAACGACGCATCTTTCTTACCAGAAAAATAACTTAGGAACAAACCAAGGATCCGGCAAGTAGGCCGATATCTTTTACTAAAAGAAGGTTGAACTTTTAGGTACCTCCTTTTGCACAAACTCGGTGTAAAGTTTTTTTTTTTTTTTTGATTACAATTGGCCATAACTTTGAGACTATCATCAGGAAATATTATATCCTCGTTGATCTAAAGATAGATGGATTCATTTACCTAAGATAATATGTCGTATCTAACATAATGTTATGTCATGATGATTTGAATGATAACTAGACGAATATTGAATCAGCATTTATTATGTAATCACAAGATTATATCATTAAAATTTTGTCAATTTTTAAAATTTATAAACATGTGTTTATTGTTGTTTTTTTTAATTTGTTTTATAGATGGAAGCTGTTGGCAATCTATCATCAGAAGATTATATGCAGGAATTAGCCAATATTGATTTGAATGCATTCGAAGAACCATCAACAAATATCCATAAACTATCAGTAGTGAATAAAATGGATCAACATTTAGGCAATGTATTAGCATGTGTTAATCAAACATCAATGTCACAGACATCGTGCAATAATATGGTCAACGGGAATAGTATGGTACATAATAATATTCACAATAATTTAAATGATCATCATAAACATTCGCAACTAACAACAATGAATTCGACCGATAATTCTTTGAACACCACCACACCAATGCGACATTCACCTATTGAAACGGCATCAGCATTCACATCCATTTCCAGTTCGAATATGGCCACACCGATTATCACTCCAGCAATGATTGATCCAAGCAATAGGATGAGTTTTGTTGAAGAAAGCCACAATATGCCATGGCTTGCATTTAGGAGCAACAATGGACTTCTAAGTGGTGCACCAGATGGTCCATTAGATTTACGGGGTCAAACAGGATCAGAGATAGATTCAAGTTGGATGTCGTCATCAATGAAACGAGACTATTTGGACATTTCAGCACACAATAGTTACATGAATCCAATGGCTAATGGGGTGCACAATCGGCTTGTTCACAGTAACAATATTTTCATGAATGGTGGTGGAATGAGCTCGATTGATTCAAATCCGATTCATGGCGATACAGCACCACCGGGAAATCAACTAGCAGGCACACATCCATCACATCTGACAGCACATCATCATAGTTCACATGATTTGCACATCTTACAAAATGGTAACACATTATCAGGTCATGGCCATGGTGTTCAATCATTGAATCATTCACCACAAAGTACAGCGGCAATGCATACAATGATGCATTCACATCCACACATGAATGATAATGCTAATACATATCCGTATCCGATTAGCCACCACCACCATCATCATCATCATTTGATGTCTGGATCAGCAGCAGCGAATACCAATAACAATACTGGCAATAATCAATTTTCCATCAATAGTGACCATCAAAATAGTAATCGTCATTTAGTGTCAACAAAAATTAACAATGAAACGACCACAACGCATCATAATCATCATAATCATCACCATACCAAAAGCATTAGTAACGGAAGCAATAGTAATAATAGCAATAGTAGCGCTAGTAGTAATGATAGTCGAACCAGTAATGATTCGAGTCAAAGTAGTGAATCTAATGTTAGCAATGAATTCAATACATCAACAAGTAATAATAGCTCTATTAGATCAACAAATTGTGATATTGATGATACTCAACTTATACATCTATCGGTACGTGAGCTTAACAAAAAATTGAATGGACTAACCAAAGAAGCTATCGGTAAAGTAAAAGCCAAAAGACGAACATTGAAAAATCGTGGCTATGCACAAAATTGTCGCACAAAACGTATGGAACAACGTAGAAATCTTGAGGATCAACTTAAAGATCTTATTGCCGAGAAGCAAACATTACAGATGAGATTGAATTCATGCCAAATGGAAAATGTTACCTTACGAGAAGAGAATAAGAATTTAAGCCAAAAAATTAAATATTGTGCGCAATATCATCCACATTTAAATGATACAATAGCACATCATTTAAATGCCCATCATCATTATTCATCACATGAATCATCACATCATCATCAATCGGTTGGACAGCAAGTGGTTAGCACTACATCGGGAACACCAAATTCTAATGAAGCTCATCATGAATGTTCAAGTTCATCAAGCGGTAATACAACACCAAATTCTTCAATCCTTTATGATTATAATGGCTAAATCTTCATCTATCATTATTATTGATTTTCAGTCTAAATACAATTTGATGGATATCGATTCAGTCGAAAAAAAAACAATGCCCACCACAGATTACAGAAAAACCAAACAATAATTCATCCAATCCATCAAATGATAAAACAAAACACGGTCAAATCTGAAACAATATTGACGTTTGATCTCTCTCTTTCTCTTCTCTTTTGTCTCTATCTTTCTCTAGCTTTAAAAAAAGGCTTGAAACAAAAAAAAATTTCCTTTTTGATTATCCATTGTTCTTGGTGTATTATAAATATAATAGGCAGCCATAAGAATTTTCTTTATTTGTTTTTGTTTCTTTTCTGATTTTTTTTTTTTGCTTTTCTTTTTGTTGTTTCCGTTGTTTAAAACGACCAATTTTTTTTAAGAAAAAAAAACAATTTTATTTGTCTTGATTTTGATTTATATTTATTATATTCAATTAATTGATTAATTAAATTGATAATTTATTGATTTTTTTTCTTTGGTAACCAAATAAATGATAAAGAAAAAAAAATACTTTGTTAAAATTCATTCATTCAACATGGTAACACGATCAACGATTTGAAACATAAATGAAAAAAAAGTTGTAGCAGATTGCAAAAAAAAAAATGTTCACCATTTTTTTTGTTGCATCAATTTTTTTCCAATGGACATATAATATGAATATATGTTTTAATTAAAAAAAAACTTTCAACCAATGTGTGTGTGTGTGTTTGTCTCTGTGTGAATAACACAGAATTTCCAATCACATACGTTTACACATGGACAAGGATGTTTTGTTTCAATGAGCAAAAAAAAATGAATGAATGAATGAATAAATGACAATTAAATGATTGGTATATTCAACAACTACAAAAAAAAAATTGTTTCATTGTGTTATAATTAAACAGTAAAAATTAGCATGTGATTAATTTTTTTTTTTTGGTTCCACAACTCTACATCATATATGATTGGAGGACAGACAATGGGGACAAACATATATTGTACAAATATCATGGTGAATGTTTGATGCAAAAAAAATGGCAATAAAAAAAACATATTCCAAAAGTGTTCCAAAAGACAAAAAGGATGAATAGTGGAAAAAAGGACAAAAATAAACTTTTTTTTTATCGTCCTGTGATCGTTGCTTCTGCTGCCTCTGTTATGCTCAAATGTTTCGAAACATTAAAAGAATAAAATGGACCATAGTGTTAACACACAAACATATACAAGTCGAATATAGAATCGATTTCAAGAATTTAGTTCAGAAAAAAAATGAACAAATAGATGCGTAGAGCGTTGATATTAATGAGACACAAAAACATCGAATGAACAAAAAAAAAATATATAAAAAATTGAAGGCCCAAGACTGAGAATACAGGAAAAAAATATCCAAGAATGAATGAATGAAGAACAACAACAAAAAAACAATAGGAAAGAAAAACATGTGAGCGAGTGATGAAAAAAATTGCTTGATCATCACATATTGAAATTGGCTTGTTTTTAAAGCTCGATGATTCCAATGCAAGCATATCGCACACACACACACACACACGAGGGGCTACATAGATAGATAGATAGATAGCTATGCCAGTTTGTCCGATTGAATTTGAGTGTTCAAAGACCGTGCAAGTCCATCCAAGAATCGTATCATTTTTACTATTTTTGGGGTTTTGATTACGATCAATTAGATGTAAGTTGTTCATTCAATATTGGTGATGGTTTGGATTTTTAGTTTGGAAAATGAAATCGATATAATCACAGCTATCGACATTTGGTTGGTGTAAAAAAAAATTTTTTTTTGTTTAAACAAACCAATAACAATATTGAGTATTAAAAGGATTGAAAATTAGAGCTAAACAAAAAAATTTGTTAGTGAATATTCGTTCTTTGTTTTTCTATATCGGTAAAATGAATTGTGGCTTTAAGCTTTTGATCCTAATTATTTTCTACACATTCAAATTAATGCATGTAAGCAACACACACACACACACTCAACAAAGATAAAGATAGAAGAGGAAATAAATGATGATCATCATTAGGTTTATTAGTAAAACTAATTTTCATTGGTTTAGTATTCACAAAATCGGCGTTGATCACAGAATCAAATGTGTATTGATATTATTATTTTATACAGAAAATAATGATAATAGAATTAATTTCCAAACACAGATAAAACCACTGTTAATGAACGATAAACTTGTTTGTCTGTATTTACCACAATATGTTTATGAGTATAATACACACTTTTTTTCCAAAAAAAAGCTATGCTAATGAGAAAATTCTCTCTTTTTTTCTTTCCAATGAACGTCTTATATATATAATAATAATAACGGGAAAAAAGCCACAAAAAAATTACCACCAGAAAACAAATCCAGACCATTTTCATCAACTGTCAAATCGATTTTTGTTATGTAATGCAATATTATTTACCCATGAGAGCCGTGAAAAAAAATACACATGAAAAAACGAACAAGAAAAAACGACAACTACAACGATAAAGACGACATGCATTTTATACGAGATGTATTTTTTTTCTGAATTTTTCATGAAATATACGGAAAAATACCCTGAAAAATACTACTAACAATACGGCAAATTATTACGGTACACAGACACATACACACTAAATATAACTTTTCGACGATTAAATTAGTTTGCTTTGCCAGTTTTCTTATTCATTCTTCAGGGTCGTTGTCGTCAACAAAAAAAAAAAAAAAACAACAACAACAACAACAATTGTGTATTCATTTACTGCCGTATTATTATTATCATTATTATTATAAATGTTCGTGTATGGCGTGGTGGTGTTCAGTAAAAAAAAAAATACATCAAATAAAAAATGAAAATCTCTTGACGACAAAAAAAAACCGATCCTGATTCCCAAGCGAATTAATGGTCGATTCTGGTTCACCTAGTCATTTTTGTATGTGTGTGTGTGTGTTTATGTGTTTAATTTATCTGCACGTCAATCATCGAAAACAAGCATTTGACTATATATATATTGTTATATAATCAACTATTATATCAACAATAATAATAAACAACAAAAAAAAAAATGAATGAATGAATCTCCCATTAATTCATAGCTATAAGCTACAAATAACTATATGATGATCAAGGATCAATTATAATGATGATGATGATGATGATGATGACAACAAACCGTCAACTGATCTAACCACACACACACACACACAAAATGGACAATTAAATGGCAAGAGAATTGATTGTTTGGCTTTTTTTTATAAACAACGAATATTATTATCACTAATTATGTCTAACTTCTATTTTCTTATCATTTAGCCTACGCCTTATTATTATAATCATTATTATGTGATGAAAATAATAGAGCATAATGGTGGAAAAATTAATATTTTTTTTTTATCATGAAAAAAATATATGATTATCAATCATCATTGTGAAATTTGAACAGTCATTCAAATTCTGGGTAAAATTCCACATATAAAAGTATTCTATACTTTGATTATCATTAAAACAAAAGAAATTTCATATGTTTTTGAAAATTTTTATCCATAAAGACGATTCCAATGCCTGATCGAATATTTTTTTTTTTGGCAACCAGATTAAATGACAGTAACAGCAAAAAAAAAAAAAAAAATAGAAAAAAAAAATTTGTCACTTATGATCGACCCTATGCTACATGATTCTTCAACTGATAGTCAAATCACGTATTTATTGGTGAGAACAATCCACACATTTATGATAACCACCAAATATAGAAACATATTTTTTTTTTTTGGTGGTTAAATTAAAATTGGTGTAAATTACTTACAATAAAAATAAAAACAACTTGGAAATGTACCATATGATACAATCTGTTTCATGAAATAAAATGAAGACGAACTGCAAAATCTGAAATGGGAAACCATATTACGAAAAATAACAAACAAACTGGCGGTTGGGGGAAAAAAGAAGAAAAAAAATATTCATTCATTCAACTATTGAATCGAGCGTATATATTTCGATTCACGGTTTTTGTTACCATTTCCATTGTTGGTGCTTGCTGTTATTTGTTAATGTTAATCCCGGTCGAAAATTAATCTCTCTATTCTTGTTTTTAAATGTGTCTAATAGACACACACACGTACACATACGGTTACAATTCCAACATATAGAATTGATTCATTGAAATAAAAGAATTGTTGTATTGTATCAGAATAATAAAAAAAAAAATTTCGATGTCACATCGGTTTTATATTTATTTTTTTCTATGTATGTATGTGTGCACGCCGGGTCCATAGTTTTAATTCGCATAATTTTTCAAGAGTAATCCAATCTGGTTGGAATTGGACAAATGATCTTCACATCCATTTATTAATAATAATAATAATGGTACCATTGGTGTCAAATGTTTGTTGTTGGTACATTGTTGGAAAGAAATTTTTCATTGTAAATAATATAACAACAGTAAATCATATATATATCCTAATGACATGACTAGCAAAATCTTGGATTTTTTTTCTGTTAGTTCAAAAAGAAAAAAAATAGACTTCGATTTTTTTTATATTTGAACAATTGTTTGGAAATAAAAAAAAAAAAAATACAAAAATATATTGACTATTGTGGTATATTTTTTTTCCTCAATTCTCTAAAACAAAACGAATCAATAACCAGGATGATGAATAATGTCATTCGATGTGACAGTCACCCACCCACCACCAACACAACTACCACCATTTGATTCATAATCATCTTAATAGTGTGATGTTAAATGAACCAAATGATTTTTTAGAATGAAAAAAAAAATAAATAAAATTCATAACGACAAACAAGATCAGTAGCTCGAAATAAAAACTAAGAATTAACCACACACGATTTTGATTCATTATAATCAAACTATTATGGTAAGAAATTGAAGAAAAAACGTGAATACAATTGTTTGTTGTTTTTTCCAGTTTTATGAATGAACAGATTTATAACAAATTCAGTAGGATTCTTTATAACATCCTCTTCAAACCATCAACACCAATACCGAAAACATTAAACATTAAATGAGAAACAAACAGACAGACAGACAAATGATTTTCTTTGTATTATATCCATCTCAAAAAGAAGTTCATGCAAATGTGTCGAACCATCATCATCATCATCATAAGGATGTTTATTGGTGATGATGATGATGATATACAACAACAAATTGAAAATAGACATAAATATACGAAATTATATTGATTCACTTCCGACATTTACTATTCCGGCTAGATTCAAAAACATTTAAATGAAATGAATTTATAAATTTTAAAAGAATTGCGAATTCAGTTTATGTGTGTGTGTGTGTGTGTGAGTGTGTGATTAATAATCATCATCTAGCGTTATATTTGGTATAGAATTCGAAATGTTTTGCCAAATACAAAAAAAATCGGCACCGTACCGGAACGTGAAAAGAAAAAGAAAAAAAAACTAAACTTTTAAATGTAAAGATTTTCAGCGTACACAGAAAAATTGTTTCGCTAAAAATTCAATTGAATCGATTCACAGTATACACATTGAAAGCATACATCGTGAATCTAATCGTTGTCGAACAACCAATAATCCAATATATCTACTTGAATCAACAACATAATAATAATGATGATTGAGTATACTGACATAGTTGGGCAAAACTTTCAAACAGAATTTGATGCACATACATTACCCTTTTTTCAGAAATCATTCTTGCGGAATTGAGGGTCATACGTGCCCATACCATAATATGAATTAGGTGAGAGAGAAAAAAAGAATGAAAATCTGATCCATTATGTCAATAAATATTCAACTAAATATTAGAATTTCAATTGAATATTAAAATTCCTTTTTTTTCTGTTGAACAAAACACAATTGTGTAAATTGTGTTGATGAAATAATAATAAAAATATGAATTTTATTGATAATTTTTCAAGCAAACACAATGTGTGTGTACATTATTCAGTGAATTTTTTCTCAAATTCCATTTATTTAGTATATAGAATCACGAATACAGAAATACTTGTTATTTTTTATGTAAATATCAATGAAAATCAGTATTCAACAATTTAATCACTTCAAACCACAAATTAGTTTGGTTAGTCAATGTTTAGTCAATGTTGAGGTTCGTTTATAAAAAAATAATAATAACAATAACAACCAAAACAACCATGACATTATAATAAAAAAATATGAGTCTTTCTTTTCATTTTCAAATGAAACACGCGTTCGTAATTTCAAATGTTGTAATAAAACAAAAAAAAAACAAAGATGAGTCGTCCAAATTCAGAATGCCTCATATATGTAAATTATTGTGATTGCATAATAGAGATAAAAACTTTGTCATTTCGTATGTAACATCAACAAGGGAGCGATCATAAATGAAAATGACACGACTAAAAAAAAACTCTCATTGGTGCTGTTGTTTTGATGTGGATTAATAATAATAATAAAAAAATGTTAAGATTCACTATGCACAAGTATGTGTTTTTTTTTAATTCTAGATCAGAAAACGGGCGACAAATTCTCTTGTGCAATGGCAAATTTTCTTTCAAAATTAGATTATCATTGATTGATACTAATGAAATTTGTTGTATTTCATGAACATTGATGATGATGGTCATGATGACAATTTTTGATGATGTATATGTGCTCATTTTATGTATTTCCATCAACTTATCATCAATGATTATTACAATCGCCATTGAAGCGTAAGACATTCTATTCGAATGGTTTATTCGATTATATTCACTTTATATGAATTTGTTCATAATTGTTTGTCGATGATCATCATCATCATTATCATCAGTGAATGAACAAAAATTTCTTTGTATATCAATATCATTAGCTCTAATGGATCGACAACAAATAAAAAGAAATTGATGCACATGATGACATTAGAAAGAAAAAAATTCATTTCGGAATTCAAATGAGAAATCGGAAAATGTATCGGACACACCATACACGATGCACAATTCTGTAACAATAGATTAATTAGTACTTGATTCTAGTGATGTGTGAATGGACACACACATTAACAAACACATATACACAGTTTGTAATGAACTGGGATTCACTCTCTCTTCCTCTCTCTCTCTCTCTCTCTCTCTCGAGACAATGACAATGAATGTCCATCCAACTATTAATCGCAACCAAGAACATTTAAATTAATGATGATGATGCTCTCATAACTACTGCAACAGTATAGTGTTGCAAATTTTATTTTGCTCTTTTATAGTAGAACTGATGATGTAAACTTCATTGGGTGTTAATTGTTAATCGATAATCAGCATCATTTGTCGTGACCTTTTTTCGCTATGTTATCTTGCAAATATACACACATTTTACAATGATAATTGAAATGAACGCAAATTAATCATCCTTGATTTTTTTTTGATCAGAATTTTTTTTTTAATTTTATTATTCAATGTTTTATACGTGAATTAATGTTTATATGAATACGTTCATTTAGATACAAAAGTTATGTAATGATAAGTGTTTCTAACAATTTTTCGTGATTATTTGGTTCAAATTTGAACTGTACAGACATTATTACGATCAATGTTTGAAACATCAGAACGAGTCATCGTTTGTCGCCTATGTTCTCGATGATTATTCTCAATATTCGAAACATTGGAAAGCACTGTTTCATCGAAAAAGTTTTCTTCGCCCGCATCTAATTCCACATTCTCCATATCAACTGAGATGGGAAAATATACCAATGCATCACGATCTTCTTGTTCTTCATCACTAATTAAAGTTAAAAATTGAAATGTAAACTTTTTTATTTGATTTTCTAATCAAAAACATACCTGCTAAGGAATACATCATTACTGTGTGGAGTGACAACATCGATTACGGCATCTTCTTCGTCTGTGGCACCCATATCTTTGTTAGGATCTTCTTTATCTTCATCATAATCATCGAATTCGGATTCTTTTTCTTCGTATTCAATGTTTTCTTCTAATTCTTTGAAATCGGGAGCAAATGCAGACCAGTTTTCAATTTGAGCTTGAGACCAAATAGATACAACTCCACTTGCAATGGAAACAATTACCGGTCGTATTGGATGCCATATTACATCGCAGACAACTTCTCCTTTAGTGCCATGTAAAATCTTCAATAGAGTTCCGACATTACGTTCCCAAATGTACAAAGAATTTTGCCGAGAAGAACCGGCACAAATGTAATCAGACTCGGTTCCACCGGAAAAACAACATTTCTTCCAGGTTGTCCTATTAACTAAGTCCTGTAATTTTTGAATAGGCTCTGGATCAAGTTTTGAATCATTTCCCGCCACAATATTATTTCCTTTACGGCTTTTGGTATTAGCTGGGTCATTAGCAAGTATAATAGCTGAATCGTAAACTCGAATGATTCGATCGGCACTATTGACCAAAAAGATGTTTTTATTTTTAGGCGCGAACTCTATTTGTTTGATTGCAGTATTGGAAACTCTGAAGGATGTGACGACAGAAAAATTGATGCTACCCTTTTCCAAACGAATTACTTGTATTCGACCTTTGGTGTTGCCAGAAAACACGTATTCACCTCTTCGATCAAATGAAGAAACTACATCGAATTCGGATTCTTCATCATGAGGTATTTTTGAATGGGCGATTGATTTTGCTAAAAAATGAACAAAATGTTTAAGTAAATTCATAATTTTGATGATAAAATAATTAATACCTGTACCGTCTGGCGAAATTTGATATTGAACCAAATGAGATGGTTGCTTCATTGAATGTATGAGGAGAATATGATGATTTCGTGGAGAAAACTGGACAGATGAAACACAAGTGTTGAGATGCCATCTAATGATTGGTTGAGATTTTAAAACATCCCAAACGTAAACATAACAATCGTTGGAAGAAGTTGCTAATAGTTTCCCGTTTCGAGACCAAGATAATGAAGTAACCGGTAAAACGTGTGCTGTAATCATTTTGGCCACACCGCGAGTCAAAAAATCCCAGATGAAAACAAGGCCATCGTTACAACCTACAGCCAACACGGAACCTCTTCGGTTAAAAGCAACACTTGTAGCTGTTGCAAAACAATCAAGAACACCGTCAAATTCTTCTGGATAATTTTGTCCAAATTGTTCAAGCAATTCAAGATTCATGATTGGTGAATTTATATATTGAAATTAAAATTCTTCAAATCAATTCAACCAAAATGAATCGTGTTGAAGAAAATTTATTACTATCGATTGTACACTATCGATATTTTCATTTAGATTCAAAATTCATTGCAAAATCAATCATTCTATTACTTTTATCGGCTAATAAATCAGCTAATTCCGAATCTTGAGCCTTTTCTGATGGTTCACATTCTTGGCAATTATTGAAATAAAGACCACCAATATCTCTAATTTCATCTGTAACAGCACAGAATATTACTGTTGAAGCTCCTTGGTTCTTTGAATTTAAAAACGATTTTGAACTCGAATGAATTTGATCGAATTTTATATCTTACCGCAGATTTGGTGAAAGGACTGAACAGAAAATATAATACACGTAACAGCCACCAATATCGTTGAAGATTTGTGTAAACCAGATTTCCCGGATGACAACTTACAACGGTTACATTATGCTTGCATAAACGTCTATGTAAATACTGAGCTGTCAAAATGTTGCACAATTTTGAATCGTTATATGCCATGAAAGATATGAAATTAGACGGACTATAAGAATAAGAAAATTTAATTGATGAAATCGAAAAAATATTGAATGAAATTTTCTTGCCTCCAATCTTGGTCAACATTTTCTTTATTCAGCGTACTAAATCGATGACTCTCAGATGAAACAAAAACAATCCTCGTGGAAGATTGAATTAATTTTTTTTCTAACAAACGAACCATGTAAAAATGCCCAAGATGATTAACCTGGAATGTTGTTTCAATACCATTTTCAGTCAAAGTGTAAGGCAATTCATTAACTGCAGCATTCAAAATAAGAATATCCAATTTCCTAAATATAAACATTCACTGTTAAGTTGATCGATTGATTTTTGATACATACAGGTTCATTTTTGAAAAAAGATCGCAGCATTGTTTGACACTTGATAAGCTAGATAGATCACATTTGAGAAAAGTCAATTTAGCTTCTTCCTATTTATAATAATAAAAAAATTAAATTCAAATTATCGAATTTAAAAAATTGAGACAATTACTTTACATGAGCGAATTTTATCGATAGCTTGATGAGCTTTTGATGAATCGCGACAGGCCATGATTACATGTGCTCCATGCAATGCTAAAGATTTAGCTGTTTCAAAACCAATACCACTATTGGCACCAGTTACAATGGCAATTTCACCAGAAAGATCGGCTTTTTCCAATACATCTTCAGTAGTACTATTAGGTCCCAATTCTTTATTTCTTGCCATAGCTGGAATGCCTCGATAATCCATAACCTCAAATGCCGATCCTAATCGAGGATCAGTATAAGTGGCTTGATGAGTGTTGATACTTTTTTTTTGAAATTAAATTATGAAATTTATTTATCAAATACATTGAATTTAATTTACTTATAATAGAGAACATGATTTCCATCTTCATCGAATTTGCGTTGCCAACCTTCCGGTAGTTTTCCACTCACAGCTTTCTTTTTGCCACTTATCGGATGGTTCCATTGTGTAGTTTTGGTTTTATTGCTATTTAGATGATGGTCATATTACATTACATAAAATTTTAAAGTCATATTAAATCTTACTTTAGATAGTAAACACGATTGGTGAGCGAAACTTTTTGCTCCCACCTGATCAAAGATAATGATGAGAAATTATATTATCAATAAATAACAAAACATCTACCCTTGTGGCAAGTCATCTTCACTATCACTGTCTGGAAGTAGTGAATTCATGATTGAATATAAAATTCTGTAAATACAAATTCAGATCAAACATTCAGCATTCCATTCTATATCCACCCAATATGGCTAGACTAGGTATTTTGTTTTGAAAAGAATTTATTCGAAAATCAGATGTAAAAATAATGTTGAGTATAAATTAAATAAAATAAAATATAAATTAAAGTGTTTGTATAAAAAAATGGCGCCGAAATGATTAGAGGTAATAATGGAATCAAAATATTAAATGAATGGACATGATTATTTTTTTTTAGTTGTATATTTCGATAAAATTAGGTTCCTGAAGTTTTTTGATATAATAATACAATGACAGGATAATGGTATATAAATAGGAATGATATCCAACAACGGCCCAAATAATGATGAATGCAAATAATGACCATTCCTGTTTGCAATAAAAAAAATGAAATGTAATTAGTATTGGCGTAAAAAACTAATGTAACTAACATTATGATAGTAACGATAAAGTAGAAATGAGCCAAATGAAGCTAAAAATAGAATCTCGAATAACGAAAAATAAAGCCATGGAAGAAAGAAGAAACGTGTCTCCTAAGGAATGAAATTTTATTTAGAAAATCATTTTCATTTCTATTTTTTCTCATACAAATGATTAATTACCGTGTGAATTGCATGAATCAATCCAATCGAACAGAATATCAGATAGAAAATGCAATAAGCGATGAATAGGAATGCCAAAATATTAGTATCTTTACGGCTAAATTCGAAGAATGGTGAAAAAAATGCATCGGATTGGCCTCCCATCAGTAAATAGATGCCATAGAATAAGAACAAGATATGTATCGTTGCCGTATAATATGTAATTAATTTGGATCCTTTTTCAAGAGCAAGATATCCAGAATTGAGCGTAAAACAAGGTGCCCAACACCGTTTTAACATTGTTGGTTGATGTTGTAGTAATCAACAAATCGATATGATCAAAAAAATATTGCCACTATTCAAATTTACACTTTGTTCGTGCGAAATAACAATTTAAAACTTGAATAAAAGTTTAAAAAAGTTGATGGATCGATCTGATCGATGGTTTATTTGATAAAATAATCAAATGAATAAACACAATTGTTGCATAAAAGATCATGGTTCTAGCTATGAAAATCAAAAAAGTTTTCACATTTCACCCTGTGCTATTGGACATTTGCAATAAAAGTTTACCAAAGGGTATCGTATAAGCCTTATGTGTGTTTGTGTATTTGTATTTGTATTTGTTGTTGTTGTTGTTGTCGTCGTGGATTGGCCTCGCGCTCTCGCTACCATGGAAATAATAATAGCTAAAATGGGTTGCCCCACGAATCGAAAGAGAACAAGTTTCGGTAGATGCCTGTGCGTGTGTTTGTGAAGAATGGGGAAAAAATCAAAAATTCAACTAAAAGTAAAGGCGAGGCACATTCAATGATATTTCAATGCAATTTTCCATCGAATATTTGGCATTGAGAAATACATGAGATTGAACGCGCGAATCTTCGATAACCGGCTCAAAAATATTCATACTTCTGTGACGATGATCACGTAATACACAATTTAAACATATCATATACACACAAAAGCACCGAGACATTATGACCAAAAAGACATTTTGAACAATAGAAATAATAAAAATAAAATACATTGGAATTTTATTCCTTTTTTACATTTAAAAATTGGTATTTTAAAAGAAAAATTGGCCTGTCATTTTCAGAGAAAAAAACTTGTAGCGTTTGCTATTGAATTCTGGTAATTCAATCAACCTGATGAAATAGGCAACATTCTGTCTTGGGCGTCATATATCTCATGGATTCACGTCACATGAATGCTATGATAAGAAAAAAGATTCTGTAAAAGAGAATGAATGGAAAAAAAATAAAAATCAAAAAATAAACTATGCGATCAAGGCAATGTCTATGTTGTGATTTTTTTTGTACTTGTATTTGAAATATAGAATTTCTCATGGACTATACCAACGACATACAGAAAGTGATGGCAAACATAAATTTGCGCATGAGAATATTCCGTTAGGAAATAGATTGGAGGAGCTTTCATTGTATGAGCTGCTACTATCCTTAATGGAGTCCAGAAAAACTATGACTACGATTCTGATGATGATGATGATGATGATAATATTAAACATCATCACAATTCTAACGTTACATTAAATGGTTGTTTCATTTCATTCGATTCAGAACACGTTGAGTGCTTTAGGTTATTTCATTCAATTCGCTTTGCGCACGTTTTTTCATACTTCAATCAAAAAAAAACAAAACAAATAAATTATTGATTATTGTCCGAATTCGACACATTTGAATTGTCCTTTTGAGTGAAAAAAAACGTATTTGCTTCGTTTTGCGTACAAGTTTTGTTTTTGTCTTTATTTCATTCATTAAATTGTGTTGAAATTTTTTTTCCTACAATAAAAAATAACCGTAAGTGCGTGCAACGGTTATAATATAATCAGTTAAAAATTGTTTATTTTTGACTCATATTATGTAGTGGCTTCAAATGGAGATCTCGGTCATGCTCATCCCACGACATCGAACAAAGAAAAAATTAAAATTGCAGATGAAAAAAATAAAACGGTGAAAAACAACAATCATTTTGGATCATTTCTTAGCAATGCTAGAAATTTTTCGGAAGGAGATGTATCGATCGTCGGTCTCAAACGTCGAGTTGGATTTATCAGTGGAACAGCCCTCATTGTGGGCACCATGATTGGTATTTTATCATGCAAATAATTCATTAACTGGATTATTGATTCTAAATCCTAACTAGGAAGCGGTATATTTGTATCACCAAAAGGAGTACTTGAACGATCTGGTTCAGTTGGAATGAGTCTAATCGTATGGATTGGTTCTGGTCTGATTTCTTTACTTGGTAAATTATTTAGTGAACTTTGTCAAACAAATAATATTTTTGAAAAACTTTAAATTTTTCAGGAGCCCTTTGCTATGCCGAACTTGGTACATTGATCACGAAATCTGGTGCAGAATATTCATATATTCTCGAATCGTTTGGTGGTTTATTAGCATTTCTGTTTTCCTGGATATCAGTTTTTGTTCTAAAGCCATCAATGTTGTCAATCATTTGTCTGACCCTTAGCGAATATGTTGTTCAGCCTTTCTTTCCAGAATGTCAGCCCAATAACTTTGCTATCAAATTGATAGCAATATTTTTTATTGGTATGTTTTATATAATAAATATGATCAATCAAAATAATTTCATTGCAATAATTACTAAATATGTAGTAACCATAACATACGTAAATTGTTATAGCGTTAATTTGGCCACAAGCACTCAGAACATATTCACTGCTGCCAAATTATTAGCAATCATCATCATTATTTGTGGCGGAATTGTCCATATATTCCAAGGACATACTGAATACATTTCCAAAGGTTTTGAAGGCTCAAAATATGAAATTTCGGATATTGCTACAGCATTTTATAGCGGTCTTTGGGCATATGATGGATGGTTCGTTTTTTGTTAAATATGATTATTGAATCTCATTGATCTATCACTTTTGTTTCAATAGGAATAACCTAAATTATGTTACTGAAGAATTGATTAATCCATACCGCAATTTACCGTTGGCAATCATTTGTGGGATACCAATTGTAACTTTATGTTATGTATTGGTAAACATATCTTACATGAGTGTTATGTCGACTGAGGATATATTGATGTCGGATGCTGTTGCTGTGGCAAGTATTTTTTTTTTGACTAAATTATATCGTCTAATTTATTATTTTATTAAAAAAAAACACAAAAAGACATGGGGAAATCAAATTCTTGGATTCGCATCAATCATTATACCGATTTCAGTAGCATTTTCTTCATTTGGAGCAGGCAAATAATTTAATTAATTAATTAATTTAATTAATTTTTAATAAAAAAAATTTTAAAATTCTTTTTTTTAAATTCATTTTTAGGCAATGGTTCTTGTTTCACTAGTGGAAGGTATTCACGCCAAAAAATTAATCTATTTTTACTCAATAATTTTATTTTCGTTTATCAGACTAGCATTCGCAGCAGCACGAGAAGGACATTTAATTGATGTCCTATCTTATATCGATATGAAACGATACACTCCATCACCTGCTCTGGTTTTCAATGCATTTCTTTCTAGTAAGATGATAATGATAATTAATTGTTCGATTATTTATATTCCATTCAAAGTTCTTTTAATCCTGCCTAGCAATATTGAGAGTTTGATAGATTTTTTCAGCTTTACTGCTTGGTTATTTTATGGTGCAACCATGTTAGCTTTGATCATTCTTCGCTATAAATCTCCATATAAAGAAAAATTTCGTCCTTATAAGGTAGAATATATATATTTGAAAATATTGTTATTGGTGTTGTTATCATTTATTTTGTTACATATACAGGTGCACTTATCATTGCCAATAATTGTTTTCCTGATATCGATATATTTAGTTATTGGGCCAATTATACAGAATCCACAAATAGAATATCTATATGCAACGTTATATATCGTTTCAGGATTGTTGGTCTATGTTCCATTTGTAAAATATAAAGTTAAATGTCAACGTTTACTTAGTGAGTTGTAACATTATTCCTAATCACATTATTGTCATTTCATTATTATTAACAATTTTTTTTCGATACTTTTTAGATATCATTACATGGACGACTCAATTGATTTTCAAAGCTGTCCCATGTGAATATGTTCCAGAAAGTTCACCTGACGAAGAAGAATTACAAGAATCAAATCAACCGGAAGAATGAAAAAAAAATGAAAATGTATTTTTAGCAACATTTTATTTTCAATATGATAATCGATTATTTTTTTTTGTTATCAATCAATCGATCCAAAACAAAAATATTGCTGTTGTCCATTTTGAAAAAAAAGAAGATCCGAAATTATTTCTTTGTGTTTTTATTTTCATTTCATAAAGAACAAAATATTTATCACTTTTCTCGAATATATATTATTTTTCGTTGAATATAATAAGATTTTTTTTGTATTCATTCATTCAGACAGACAAAAAACTAAAAAACGAATCGTATCTTATCGTATAAATTTTAATAATAAAAATCATTAATAATTTGTCACAATCGATGAAATAAAAAAAAAAATTAATACAATGACAATGATCGAAAATAAAATAAAAATGGAAGTGGGCAGACATTGAGTGTGAAACAATATTTTCAAATTCTATCCAATTTTGTTTGAAATGAGTTTTTTTTTTAAAAAAAACTTCATTTTTTTAAAAAAAAAAAGTGCTTCAATTAAATTTCAAGAAATTGATTGTTTCATAATAATAATTATCATTTAATAATATCAATAATCAATAATATAATATTTATGAAAGTGATATATACTTTTATAAATGTTTGTTTGTATTTTTTTTTCTGTATTCATCAATTGTTTTTGTTTATAAAGAAATCTTGTGATTTGAAATTGATTGGATCATCAAATTATTATTATTTTAAATCAATGTGCATTACATGAATTATATTTACAAATTTAAAAATTTAAAAACACGAATTGAAATACTACAAATTTTCATGGCTCGATGAGAATATGTGATTTTTGTTTCTGAAAACGAGGTGATCATTATGATAATAAACGTGAGGTTGCCATGCAAGGTGAATTGATTTTTTTACAAATCGGTATGATGATTGATGATGATACTTTTTTTTAATGGTGAAAATTTATGCTAAATTAGGGCTGTGTTGTTGTGTAATGAGGATGGGTCAGGGTGTATGAAATATTTCCAGTCAAAGATAAGATCTTGTCAGGATCTTTATAATATTATTTTTTTAAATACAATCATCTTTTTTTTTTTTGTATTTGTCAGAATTGGCTCAGCAGATATCACAAAACAAATCTCGCTAATTTGAATAATAAATGTAATGTAATAGACAATCTCAACTATGTATGAAAGAGGGATGAATTAATAAAAAAAAATCATGCCGAAAATATCACAATTGAATTTGATGTTTACAAAATATGCAGTAATATAATTTTTGTTTCAATAAATACGAATTAAGATCAATAGTTCAGTCAAATTATCCATGTTCATGTATAGTGCAATATGGTTCATTTTGAGGTAGCAGCTGATTTGCGATTACTTTTATAATCTTTTGATGATACCGTTGTATTGGATAATGATGTCGAAGATTGTTTTGCCGATCGATTACGTTTGCTAGCGTTTCTGGTCTTAGCGATATTCTTTTCTGGTGTATCTCTTTCGAATTCGCCATTAAGATCTTCCTCATCTTCATTAGCCATTAATGATTTGAGGCTTTCATCATCGGAATCCATAGTAGCAGCTGCCGCTGCAGCGCTGGTAGAATGTACACCAGCTGGACTTGTCAAAAGACCACTGGCTAACGAGTGTCCAGATGTAGCGGATGTGTTTGACGATTTCATTGAAGATTTACTGTTTCCTTTATTCGTTAACGATGATGAGAGCTTGCTTTTTGGATTTACATTAGAACTTGATGTCGGTGTGCTGGTTGTTGATGTGAATACGTTGGAAAAATTGGCCAAACCATTCATCAAGTTGGGATTATTGAGAAAGGGAGATGTGAGACCAAAATTCATTGGATACAAAGAAGGCATTGGGAAATTTGGATTCGAGTACAAAAACGGCAATGATGCCGAAGGTAAGCCAGATGAACCGAGCATGTTAGCTGCCGTCGAATTCAAAGGGTTTTTGTTACCCTTACTGTTGTTACCAGAAGTTGACGAATTTTTACCAGATGATTTTGCCTTATCATCTGTCACACCAGTATTCAAATTAGTGGAAGCAGAAGATGCTAAACTGTTTGCAAAAGATGCGAAATCAACATTGCCTAGTGGTCCATCTTTCTTATTAGCAGATTGGTTGAGATTGGCCAGATTGGAAAAATTTGAAAAATTAAACAATGGATTATTTATGCCAAATAGATTGGCAAATGAAGATAATGATGGTGTTGTTGACGTTGTTGTGGATGCTGGAGTAGTGCAGGTCACTGTACTGCTTGTGCTTGTTGTATTTGTTGAGGAAGTTGCTTTTGAAACTGCTGCAGCGGCGGCCGCAGCAGCATCCAAAAACATTTTCATTGATGGAAGTCCAGAAAGCATGTTATTGTTGAAACCCAAATTGGCGAAATTTGCAAAATTAGGATTGGACTTGCCGGTCGCATTCAAAGCATTGACATAGGTGTTGGCCAGAAGTGAAGAAGCTGCTTGCTGATGCTGTTTGCTTGATGATCCGGTTGTAGCGGCTGCAGCAGCAGTCAATGAAAGATTATTCAACAGATTTGATGCATTCATGTTAGCAAAACTGGGATTACTGGTTCTAGTTGACGTTGAAGAACTAGGTGTCTGTGAAGCACGTTTGTCGCTTGTACGAGTACGAATCGACGATGAACTACTGGGTGATACTGACTGTAATACAATAATAACCAAAAAATTAATAAGCGAATACAAGGTGAATAAAAAAACATTTACCGGTGTTTTAAATGGTGCTTGAGTAGTAGACTTATCTTTCATAAGATTCTTTAAATCAGCATTATTTTTTTCCAATAATGATGAAAGATACTTTTTGGGATCAATTAATGATGACTAGGATATAAAACGGAAATTATTGGTAAAAAAATAAATAAGAAAAAGAAAAAAGACATACCATGCCAGAAACATTCATTAGCGATCGTTTGGCCATTAATTCATCACCGCCATTGTTATGTGAAGATGTTGATGGTGAAGATTGAGCTTCGAATTGAGCACGAGTCCGCTTACTGGATCGTGTATTCTTTGTTTTGTCATCAACCTAGAAAATGGGACAAGTTTTGAATATGTTTCATTACCTTATTCTAATGATACTTACACTAGGAATTGGTGGTGGTGGAGGCAAATGTGACTGTTGTGTTACATTGGCGGCAGAATTCAATGCCGATTGATTGGATCCTTGTGACAAACTTTGAGCAAACAGTGGGTTATTGAAAATCGAAAGAAATGTAGAACTTTGAGATAAAAGTTCGGGATTTTCTTCCAGAAGAGCTTTGAGATTCTGTTTCATCATATTGGCTTTGGGGTCAAGCAAAGGATTCTTATCGCTTCCGGATGATGATGATGATGTTGATGGTATTTGCTTTGATGGCGGAGGTTGTTTGCTCAATAATTTAAATGATTCCATCATGTTGTAATATGCTTTGCTGACATCACTAGCTGCCAATGGTTTTTTTGTTCCCATAGTGTTGACGCTAGATGAAACACTTGAAGATGTTGCAGATGAGGTTTGTTGAGTCAGATTAGCCAAAGTATTTTTCTTAACCGAATGGAATAATGGTGATTTTGACAATTCATCAAACAAAGTATTCGATTGGCGTTTATCATGCTGCTGTTGAGATGAAAGACTAGTGAATGCAGCCAACAAGTCTTTTTCATTGAACAAATTCCTAGATAAATTACTAGTTGATGGAGTATGAACAGAGGAAGTGACAGCAGTAGACGTGGACTGTTGTTGTTGTTGTTGTGTTGAAAATTTATTTGACAATGCAGACGCTCTATTGGATCCGGCAGGATTGTCCACATGTTTAACTTCTTCCATCATTTTTTTGGCTTGTAAATTTAAAGCCAGGGCATCGATTCTACTTCCAGTCTTTCCTCTCTTTTTACCAGTACTAACGGGTAGATTACTAGGATTAGCAACTGATGCTGCTGGTGTATCTGGAAAATTTGATTTCTTCAATGTCTGGCTTAGCAAATTAGCCATCGAGCTGGATCTGTTATTACTTGGTCCACTTTTACATGGAACTGAACTCAAATCAAGAACATCAGCTTTTTCATTAGGATTCTTAAGAGGTTGTTTATGAGCTGGATATGGAGCAGGTATATTAGGACGATTTGATTGGACACTTGTTTTTTCCAAAACTGCACTCGTTGCTGATTTGAATTTTGATGTTAAATCTAATGATCCTAATGAAAGAGCATTTCTGGATGAACTTTGATGCGCCGGAGGAGGTCCAGATTGAAGGATGCCTCCTTTTGATGTTGTTGAAGTTGTTTCTAGTCCAGCAATGACAGCATTTCCAGAAACATTAGATTTGGCGGCTTGTGCTTTGGAAACATTGGCCACTGCTGCTGCTAAAGTCGATTGGAATGATGGTCCAAATAAAATCGATGCGGCTTTTTCATCATTTAACAGTTCCTCACGAAGCGTTGAACGAATATTGAATGGCAAATTATTGAGCAATGGCGTCAAAAATTGTGATGGTATGTTATTCAATAATGAATTAGTCGTTTTAGTATTTTTGAACAATGATGAAGCAAAAGTATTCGGATTATTTTGTATAGGTGGAATATGTGAACTGGACGTTATCATTAGTGGATTCATTTTGCTATTATTGATATTCGATGTTGATTGGTTATGAGTCTGATCCAAATTTGCATTGAGCAAGCTATGCAATTTTGTTTTTTCGTTGTCCATTTCGAAACGTCTGCGGCGACGTCTTCGTTTTTTATTGGAATCATCAAAATTATTGATCATTTGTCCTGGTGGTGCGGCGGTGTTTGGTGGATAAAAATATTCACTTGGAGTAAATGGAGATTGCGTTTCATGACGAGGTGTATGATCAGGTGTTGGATGTGGTGTCGGCTCTTGGCTAGCACTGGATAAACTACATGGTGTACTTGGCCGTGGTGAGCTATCGGCTGTTGTTATACTTGGCGTATTGTTTGAATGAGGCATCACAGTAGCAATGCTTCTAAATGTTGGCCATTCATTCTTTTCAACCGCTAAGCAAACATTTTCCAATCGAATTTGCAACACACGATCTCGGGGCCATTTCAATTGAGGACGAATATACGTCGAAGATATGTCAGATTCTGATGATGTAATAAGTGGCTTTATTTCTTTCAATTCACTTTTTTCCAAATCTACTTCAGATGTAGATTCCTGATCTTCAAATTGTTTTGAAATTTTATCAATCACATTATTTAGGATGGATCGTATTTCCATTTCAAATCCGGCTTTTTCATTGGCAGCTTTTTCTTCGGCTGCTGTCTGTGCTTCAAAATTTCTAACGATCTCAATGAATGAAAGTTCGGTATCATTCATTAGATTATAGTCCAAACGATTAAGTCCATATTTGGCGGCACCTATCAATAAATCTTTATCGTGTTTGCCACAGACCCACCATTCGGGCAAATCTAATTGTGTTTGACAAAGTTTGAGTCGTTCATTCAATTCTGGATGACTGAGAATTTCATCTCGAACTTTGTTCAAAAGTTCGATTCTAGCCAGACATCGATTGGCTCGTTCTTCAGTAATGGGATCAACACTGATTGGTAGATTTTCTTCATCTTCTGTCAATCGTCGACCAACTACTTTTTTACACATAGCGTGGAAAGCTTTAAAGTATTCCGTCAAAGTTTCATCCAATTTCTTTTCCAATTTGGCATACATCCGGAATCGAGTCCAATCAAATGCATCAGTCTTTTTGTTATATTCGATACCAAAAGAAGAGACAACCCGATAGAAATCTGATTCTTCTCTTCGAGACCATTTCTTTTGAGCTTGTTCACGTTTTTTATTTTCACGTTCTCTAATGGCAGCTTCAAACTTTTCCAATCTTTCCAAACGTTGCATATGTCGAGCTTTTTGAGCGATTCGGGCTTCTTCTTTCTTGAAACTTCGTTGATAACAAGTGACCAAACGACGGAGACGATTATTCATTTCAGAAGATGTTGGAAATGGTAGATAATTTTGTTCTGGTTGTTGTTGCAGCTGTTGTTGTTGCGTTTGTTGTGGTTCTTTGGAATCTTTCTCTTTAGCATCATCACTTTCCTTGATTTTATCAGTTTTATCATCTTTGGGTTCTTGAGCCGGTGTAGCAGGAGTAGCTGGAGTATCTGGTTCATCATCATCGTCCATTTTTACCACATCATCTTCAGATGTAATTTCTGCTAATAAGGCTGCACCATCAGGTGGACCACAAAGTACCAAAAAACACAAAGCTTGATCTTGTCGCATTAAATTGTAACGATCATAACCATGTTTGTAAACACCAATAATCAAAGATTTATCAGCTTCTTCGTTCCACCAGGGCGCAGGTGGATCACAATCAGGTTGACAATATGGAAGCGGTATATCTCTAACATGAAGACTGTTGAATACTTTTTCATGAAGATCGCCAATAATTTCACTTTTGATGTAGGACAATAGTCGCACACGTAAAAGAATTCTGGAAAAAATGAGAACAAAAATTAGATGTTTTGAATGTTTGGAATGATGATTTTGTTAAAAAGATAGAAAAATCAGTAAAAATGAGAAAAAGTTGTACTCATTTAGCATACCAAAATGCCTCAGTATTAGCATGGCAAAATTCATCCTATATCAAATCGGATTGTGGTTAAATTAAATGAAAATTACTTACTTATTAGCATGTCGTAACAAATGTTTTCGATATGTTTCATCAATCATTTGAATGTCTGGATTATATTTTTCACTTTTGGCCCAATCTAAAGTTTCCAATTCTTCACAAATCGGTTTAATTATTCCTTTGTTCTTTTTCGATCGTCGACTTTTGCATAATTCATTTTCTGACGATGGTTTAGTATTCGAATCAGACGACTCACTCTTTTCTGATGGTGGAGTAATAAGATCCAAAATGAATGATTTAACTTTTTCATCACCTTTGTAATTTTGGAGGGAAAATAACAATATCACTCTAGAAATATCTTCAACATCAACTTGTGATAGATTTCGTTTGAATTTCGCTAGCATGACACATTCATCCCATCTTCCCCAACCAAATGTAAGAAGACCTTTTTCCACTTTGAAGAATTCTGAGCGTGTCCATCCGAATCCTATTTCTTGAGCATAATCTTCATCGTGTTCTGGATCATAAAATCGACCTTTGCGTTTCTTTTTGCCACTAGGTACTCGGTTACGACTTCCACGTGTTCTAGATGATATAGCCTCTTCTTCATCGGTCGAAGTGTCAAGCTCGGAAATATCCAGTACAGCATCATCAGCACCAAAACGTTTAGTTTGTGTTCTTCTTCGAGGTTCTTGAACAATCAATTCATTCCGGGTCTTCAATTCATCTACATCAAAATTGGCTTTTTTGGCCCATTTCTCCCAGAAATTAGGATCGTCAATTTCAATGTCGGTTCGATTATCAGAAGTAGCGAATGAAGCTTTAGAGAAAGTGGAACCCTTTCCTTCGCTTTCGATAACAATCTTGGTAGTCCGTCTTTGCAGTATCATGTCGATATCTTCTTCACAGAATTTGTCGCCAGCTGCATCGTCTTCCATCAAAGCACCGTAGGCACCTTTACGGAGTAGATCTTCAATTTCTTTTTTGCTCAATTGATTTTCTGCAGTCAGATTTTTCTGAGCATTGATTGATTGCAATACAGCTTTATCAAGACCAAGCTTCAGGCTGGCGCGGTCAAACATTTCTCGTTCATAAGTGTTTCGACAAATCAATCTATAAACTTTAACCGATTTTTTCTGGCCAATACGATGACAACGAGCTTGTGCTTGAAGATCATTTTGAGGATTCCAATCTGAATCAAAAATGATGACAGTATCGGCGGCTGTCAAGTTGATACCCAAACCACCAGCTCGCGTACATAATAGAAACACGAATCTGTCTGAATCGGGTTTGCTGAATCGATCAATGGCAGCTTGACGTAAATTACCGCGAACCCTTCCATCAATTCGTTCAAATGGATAACGTTTTTGACAGAGATAATCTTCGAGGATGTCCAAACAACGAACCATTTGTGAAAAAATTAACACGCGGTGGCCATTTTCTTTGAGTCGAGGAAGCAACTTATCGATAAGAACTAATTTACCAGATGCTTGTATGATTGCATTCAATGTTGATTCATCAGCATGAGTACTGCGAAATTCTTGCAATATTTGCTCTTCAGCACCATTGATCAAAAACGGATGAATGCAACATTTTCGTAGTTCCATCACTGTATTCATAAGATTAGGAATGTTAGCATAGGTACCACCTTTGCTAAGAAATTGAAAATTCCGTTCTAAAATGGCGCGATAATATTTTTTCTGTACGTTTGTCAATTCGACCTAAAAGGAAAAAGAACACAAATTAGAAGGTTTTTCACGAATTCTTTTCATTATCTTGTTATTATGATTAATAATCAGAAAATAAATCTCATCAAAAATTAATCCGAACGTTTACTTTTGAGACATCAGATGATTATTATAATTTAAGAGATTTTCAAATAGATACATACCTCAATGATTGTTTCTTCTTTAGGCGCCAAAGATTTTTCCACGTCTTCTTTTAGTCTACGAAGCATCATTGGTTTAAGAATAGCTTTGAGTTTATCTACCTGAGCTTCTGTCTTGAGATCACCGAATTCAGCCATAAAATTTTCATTCGAAGTGAATTGTGATGGCTCAAGGAAATGAAGAAGGCTAAACAATTCTTCGACATTGTTTTGCAATGGTGTACCAGTCAAAAGGACACGATGATCAATTGCCAACATAAGTAATCCTTCTAAAAGTTTACAATTGCGATTTTTAAGTCGATGGGCTTCATCAATGATGCATGCAACCCATTTGATGCTGCTCAATTCAAGGCAATCTGTCAAAATCACTTCGAATGTGGTGATCATCACTTGAAATTTGTATACATTAGGTATGCGTTCATTTTTTTCATTTTTGTAATACATTTCATAATCTTGAAGCATATTACGGCTAGGAGAACTATTGTGAAAAAAATTGTTAGAAATTTATAAAATTGAATCGCTTAAAATTTATGATCATACCTTCCATGATAGGTGACAACATTTAAATCTGTCCACGTTTCAAATTCTCTTTGCCAATTGCCGATTGTCGATAATGGTGCAATGACCAAATATGGATATGGAACTCCATAGCGAACCATTTCTTGGATAAAGGTAATGGATTGAATGGTTTTTCCAAGACCCATCTCATCGGCTAAGATACAGTTTTGTCTAAATTGGATTTTAATCGATCAGATTTTGATTTATGTGTATTGTCTAAATTTGTACATACCCATTGTGCCAACAAAAACTTAGCCAATTGACACCTTCTAATTGATATTCTCGAAGAGTGTTACCATTTTTATAAGTTGGAGATTGTTCCACTTTCTTCCATTCACTGGCTTTGGGCTTCTTTTTGATTTTCCATTCACTTTTTGGTGGTGGTTCACGAAATTTCCAGAATTGTTCAATCTTTGCTCGATCATCGATATCGTCTTCCAATTCCCAGGTACTTTCTTCATATGACAATCCTCTCCATTTGACCAAATAGTGGCGAACAATTTTCGTTTTCTTGATGATTCGTTTACGTTCCTTTTTTGGTTCGTTCGTTACCAGCTTATTTTCTTTTTCTTCTTCCTTTGAATTAATTGATTCGGATATTTCTTCAGACGATTCCTGAGATTCTTTAATTTCATTTGGTTTAGATTCGATTTCGTTAGTTTCCATATTTTCAACTTCAACATCCGGGATCGATTCTTTATTGTCGACTTCGTCCTTGTTTTTAACTGATTCATCATTTGATTTGTTCTCATCAACAACAACTTCTGAAACTAATTTTTCTTCTTTGATTGATGAATCTGATGTAACTTTATCATCGCTCTTGACCTCAGAATCAGATGGTTTCTCATCGACATCCATTTTTTCATTATTGACACTTAAGTCAGGTTTCGGTTCATTTTTTTGTTCATCATTATCTGCTAATTCCTCTTGTGGAACATTGATTTCTTCTTCTATGATTTCTTCGATTTCGTTTACATCTAAGATTCGATCAACTTCTACATAATCAGGATTAAATGGTTCTTCATCGAGAAAATCAAAAACATTTATATCTTTCTTTTGTTTATAACGACGTAGTTTCTGAATGATACGCCTGTCACCTTTTTCCAATTCTTCTTCAGTCTTCCAATCGCAATGCAAGTATGAAAGATTTTTGTATTTGACATAAAATTCTTCCACATCTACAAAAACTGGCTCTTTGCTTTCTGCATCATTCATTTCACCAGGTTCTAGTTCCAGTTCACGTTTGGCCATACGACTAGACAATATTTTTTCCACAACCATTGTGTCTTCAGTGAGTTGTACATTCATCACCTGACTTTGATCATCGTTTTTAGATTTTTGCATAAATTCCTCATCGGATAAATCCAAATCGATATCATCATTATATCGTTGACGTTTCGTGTTACGAGCTGATCTCCTCTTATGAATAGCTGATTCATCTTCAGGACCAGGCGAAGGTGGTGGTGTCTTTTCTAAATCAGAATTGTCTGGTGATCCGAATCCGCGTCGACGTTTTTTGCTGTGTTTAAGTTTTAATGCCAATTTCGGTAGCTTTCTTTTTGGTGCCCTGTTCTTGACTTTAGGCTTTTTGATTACTTCTTCTTCAGTACTTGCTACTTGTGTTATGTCGGCATTGGTTGATTCACCACCATTGATATCAGTCAAAACAAGCGATTCGTTTTCCACTGCAGTAACATCGGATTTTTCTTCAATTTTGGGTGATTTCTTTTTCTTTGGTCGTATTCGTTTTGGTGGTTTGACTTCATTATCTGTGATTGAATTATTCATATCAAAATTTGAGGTTGAGAATTGAGTTTTTTCATCTAGATCCGTCGAAACCAATGTATTTTCATCAATCGATTGTTCAGGTTTTATTTTTTTAGATCGTTTCTTTTTTATTTTTGTTTTTGGTTCACCATCGGCATTTTCATTGTCAATTGTATCAATCGTATCGTCAGTAATTTCTGTTTTCTTAGGTTTCCTCTTCTTTTTTGGTTTTTCAGGAAGCGGTGTTGATGATGTATAGTTATCATGCGGCATACTTGTTTCATCAGTGAAACTGTTTATGGAAGTGTCAAGATCAACCTGGTTTGAATTCGTTGGAATAGAATGCATTGTGTTTGAAGTTTTAATTGACGAATAACTAGAATCGAAATTGTTGCTTGCTGATGAAAGTTGATCATTAGATGTGGCTATAGTTTCATGTTCTTTTGTAACATTTTCAAAACTAGACGTACACATTGTTTCCGATGACGACGGAACGGTTGATGATGCCATTGCTGAAGTATAATTATTTTCTATCGATGATGATTGAGACGAATTATGATTATTCATAGGAATTGATACCGGTGGCAATGATGGAAGAGGCATTTGCTTTTCTATATCATTACGGTCTATGGAGTCCAGTGAAACTGCTGGCAGTGACGACGAGGCGACTGGAACAGAAGCTATTTGGCTAGTCTGGTCTGAAGATTGGTTGATGATATTGTCTTTATTCATATCAGACGTCGACGATCCAGAATCAATTGAAAAATTGGAATCCTCATAATGAGTTGAAACTATCGATTTTGTTATCGTTTGTTCATTTTTGTTACTATTAGTGCTCACCAAATCTTTATTATCACAAACAATGGGTAGACTTGATGAACAATTCAGACCAGACAATTGTTGATCACTTGAAACAGTAGGCACCTTAGGCTCATCATTAACATAATTATATGATGATGATGATGAATTATCTGCCATTGGAACAGAATCATAATTCGTTCGATTAGTAGATATCGACGAAGGAGGAGGAGGTGGTGGTGGTGGTGGTGGTGGTGGTGGCAATGACGATGGTGGTATTGTAGTTGATGACACTGGTAGAATGGGCGATCGACTACTCATGGAGTTTGATGATGGCGGTGTAGCCATATGATGACTACTGTTTTGATTTACTGGAGGCAATGATGGAACTGTTGGCATAGATGTAGGTTTAGAACCATATGGTGAGGATATTAATTCAGAATTCGGTGGTGGATGCTGATGTGGTAATACTGATGAATTGATTGTTGGCGGCGTAACAGGTAACATAGAATTCGAAGGCACCTTGGATGCTGAAGAACTTAGAACTGATGGATGTGCACTATACATGTCCATATTGCTGGAAGCATACATGTCGACTGAATCATTTACACCTGGACCAGTACCTAATGAAGGTGGTGGTGGTGGTCCACCATAATTGACCGGTGATCCACCATATTCATGAGACATAATTCCAGGTAACGGTATATGATCCATCATAGCTTTGCTACCTCGACCGCGACCACGTCCTCGTGTTGACTGAGATCTTGGTTGTCGTGGTTTGCGTTCCTTTTTTGGAGTTGCATTATCTTTTTTGGGCCGACCTTTGCCCTTTCTTTTGCTGGTTGTTTCATAATCATCAAAATTGGCAGCATATGGATCGGCTGGTGGATAGTCCGGTGGAACGCCACCAGATTGTTGTAGATTGGCTTGAGATTCTCGATACTCGGACATGGTTTGATGTGGAGGCATACCGAGACCATTATCAATATTGTACGGATCATAAAGCATAGCTGAATCATGATCGGCTGTATTGTATGAAGAATTTGAAAGCTCCGATGAGATACCATATTGACTTGATTGCATTGAATGAGGTGGTGGTTGATCATAGCGAGAATGATTAGGATATGGCATTGATTGACTGCCATACGCTGATGATTGCATCATTGAATGATAGGAATTCGAGATTTGTGATTGATCCCCTGACAATGGATCAATCACTGAACGGGAGCTTTTATTATGATCATACATTGATGATGTTTCATTTTTTAAAGATGATTGTTTTGATTGTTGACTGGACATAGAATCATACGAAGATGGTGGTGGTGGTGGTGGTAGGGAACTATTCATGTAACTACTTTGAGTTATGGAATGGGGTATCGATGATGATGATGATGATGAATGTGAATTTGATGATGATGAGTTATATGTTGATTGCGAATATTCATTGTTCTCGGCCGGTAGATCATTTGATCCTTTATTTGTTGATGTTGAATTGTTATATGATGAATATGGTGGCGTAATTAAACTGCCATCGTTAGCACTCGTCGAGTGTGACTTATTCGATGCAGATGATGACGATAAATGTTGAGCACTGTGGACTAACGATGGTTGCATCATACCACCAGGTCCAACTGATTTTAATGTATGAGTATTTGAAGCTGCCATAGGACTACCTGATGCGGTCGGTGGCCAACTGCCTGCACCTGGTTGGGTTGGAGTTGGTTGTGAATATTGATGGTAAGGAAATTGCGAGCTTGGTGCCGACGGGGATGATGAATAATGGGAAAACAATTTACTTTGAGATTGTGACTGAGATGGTGATATTGGTGATGAATTTGCATTCGATGAATAGAACGTATTCGAATTATTTGAAGAACTGTTTGTCGATTTTGATGTCGTCGTTGAAGTATTGCTGCTGGTTCCTGAAACTAAATGGGGCATGACCATTTGTTCCAATTGTTGAAGACTGGATGGTTTTCCAGCGCTCGTTGAACCAATCGAATTCGGTAGATGATGGCTCGAGCTAGAAGGATTTGTTGAAAATGCTGAAGAGCCTTGATTCGAACTTTGTGTTGAACTTGATCCAACTGATGGTGGACCGGGTGTATGAGATGTTGGCGGCATTGGTGATCCTGATGGTGATGTGGCAGTTGTTCGTCGTGGACTATTCACCGGCAATTGAGGTGCTGTTGATGTTGAGCCCGTTTGATAACCACCACCACTGGCCGAACGATATTGTGGACTGTTCGGAGTCTGTGACGTACTGCTACTAGTTGGTGGCGTAGAATACGGTGACAATCGAGCTTGACTTGCTGGATCGTAAGATGATATACTTGGAGCATATGAAGAATAGTGTGAGAACCTCGAAGCAGCTGAATTGCTCACAGCTGATGCTGCCGCTACCGGATTAGCTATAGTTGTTTGGATCGATTGTTGTGATGATGTTGTCGATTGCGAACTATTGTTGTAGGAACCAAGCTGGCTACCATATTGCTGGTGTTGGCTTCTGGATGAACTTGAACTTCGCGAACTAGATGATGGTGGTGGTGGTGGTGGTTGTGGCTGAGATTGAGAGCCGGAAGCTGTAGCTCCAGCTCCATAACTAGTAGAATAAGCTGATGATGGATCATTGGACATGTGGTTAGGGAAGTAAGGGTTACTTGAACTGGAAGTACCATAATCACTGCCAGCGGTGAATTGTGAACTTCTCGAACTACTAGAATGTAACGAATTGAGTGTTGATGAGGTCGGTGCTGAGTTGTTCGTTGTTCCGGGGGTAGTCTGTGATGGACTTTGAAAATTAGTAAATTGCTGCAAATGCGATGACATTGGAGTCTGACCAGATGACGACCACAAATCACTCGTACTACTGCCACCATGAAAACTAGATGAAGAATTAGGTAATGATGAAGCGTAAGGTGAATATTGTGAAGGCATTGTCGGATGACGAGCACTCGTATGTAACGAACTAGGTGAATGTAATCTTTGACCGGTATATTGGTGGGCTGCCATCATAGCCGCTTGATGTGGGGGTGGTGGCCCGTACGAACCGCCCAATGAATGGTGACCACTTGAAGCTGCCAGATGTGAAGCCTGACTCATTGATAAACCTGGATATGAATCCATCGCTCCATGTGGTGGTGGGGGTGGCATGTAACTTTGTGAATACTGTGAACTAATCGATGCAGGGGTTGCTGCTGAACCATAACCAGGATAGCTTTGATGTAGCTTGTTTGACATTGATAATGGATCACTGGTTTGTGGATAACCAGGTCTGGGCTGAGATCCAGACGGTGTTTGCAATGAATGGTATGGCGGTTGACCTGGAACTGGTCCGACACTACCAGGCGGCATTAAACCTAATCCAGGTGGTGGTTGTCCAGGACCTGGTGGTTGACTTGGATTCTGAACTGCATTTGCAGCAGCATAACCAGGGTGATAACCTGTAAATAATAAGTTAGTTCACAATCAATTAACATGAGAATATTATCCACTTACCAAAGGTATCACCAAGAAGTTGATAGTCGGCCATTATTGATATTGATATTTATGGTTGAAAAAGTGACCAACAATCGTTGTTGGTCAAGCGAAACAACAAAAAAACTTGAAGTGTCCAAAATTATATTCCTAAATTTTATCCGGCTTGTTTTGCACTGAAGAATAAAAATAAAAAGCTTATTATGGAGCACTTGAAGAAATTAATTCATCATTCATTTCGATAAATTTCATAAATCTATTATTTTCGAATTAAAATTCGAATTATGAATTGTTGATTGAAAAAAAATTTCGGAAAAATGCGATTTATAATGTTTGTCAACGTGTCATTTGATAGCTTTGAAATAATTCATGTGATTGTAGCAAAAATGATTTCAAATTCTTCACTTTTTAATAAAATGTGGCCATATTATCGTTGATTAATACTTCCATTAAGGATTCAATATTATCATATTCCAGGAAAAATTCAGTAAACCTAAAAAATTAAGAAAATGATGGATATAAAATAAATAAATAAAAAAAAAAATGATGAGCAACCACATATACAACAACAAACTAATAGAGAGAAAATTCAAGATTCTATCCCATAAAAGCATCCGTGATGTGCGCATCTCTCTCTCTCACACACACACACACATACAATCTAAATCTATCCATTTGCCTGGTCTTCTGTTTTATTTGCGGATACAACAACAACAACAACAACAACAAGAAAAAATATGGTCGTTCTTCATTGGGCTATGTGTAGTTGTTGTTTTTTTGCCATTTAGTTGTTCGGGTTAAAAATGGCCAATATGGTAAGAAAAATAAAAAAAAAAATTTCTAACGTATTTTGATAGTATTCTACTACCATTCGGCGACAACGGACAATTCGATTTGAATTGGTGATCATCAGTGGCTGCTGCTACAACACCCATATACTATTTAGAATTTCTCTCAGTCACTCTGTGATATTATTCTTACAATTAGAATGGTTATATGATCAATACCATCATCATCATCATCATCAAATAAGATCAAACCAGATCGACTTCTTTAAGTATTCGAATGAACGAAAAAAAGACAGCCATAGAAAAAAAATCTATGTATCCTTCTTTTCAATACAAAGACTAAGAAAGGAGAATGAACGAAGAAAAAATGATTGAACCTTAACGAATAGTGGCGGCTTGATTGTGGCTACCTGGCTACAATTCATTGAGAATTTGGTTGAATATACATGATTGAAAACAAGCTGTGGTTGATGTCTGAAAAAAAATCTGGATGGTGTATGCTGGTGGTGGTATAGTATCTAGTGTCGAATTTTTTTTTTTGGGTTGTTAAAAAAATAAATTTTTTCCGACTTCCTCTATCAATCATTAATGATTGACAATAAAGAAAATATATACAAACAAAAAAATTTTTCTTTCTAAAAATGACCAATTTGAAATGCTGTCAATGTTTTGACTCATCATCAGATATGAATTTCAAATGACAATGAGAAAACATTAATGTTTAATAATCAATGTTTAATGGTGTCAATGAAATCACAAAATCGAATTCCCATCAATATGTGAGTGATTTCATATCTTTATTTTTTTTTTTTTTAATAATTTCTATCATTTCACATTTGCACTCTTTTCAATTCATTCATTTTAATCATATATAATAACTTTTTTATTTTGCTCAATTGCTGAATGTGACAGGGAGTGTGTGTATACATACACATCTTTCCACACAACACAATGGATGGATGTCTGTTGAATGTGTTTTGTAGATTATAATATACATAAAGAGATAGATAATATATATTGATGACGGGGTGACCATCATCATCATCATCGAATCATTCTATGATGTGTACGATTAAAATATGGCAAATGAATGAGGTTGTTGTATGGAAACCTAAACCAGATATAATAGAAGAAATCATTGTTACATTACACACACACACACAATAAATTCGCTCTAAAATAAAAGTGGAAATACTGGCCTCATCATCATGGACAATCCAGTCAGGATGGATAGATTTTTGGATTTTTACAACAACAACAACAAAAAAAAAATTGTGCAATTGTGCAATATAAATTTATTTGATACAATCAATACCTTATTTTCTATTAAATATATTTCCTAATCATAATCATCATAAAGAATAAGGCAACAAGAATCTGGTTCAACAAAACAAAAAACATAGACAAAAGAAATTCGTATTTAAATCAAATCAACAAATTAATTAAACAAGCCATTCATCCATCCAGCCATCCAGGTAATAATAATCCAGTTTTTATGATGAAGTAAATTGACGAAAAGTGAATAACAACAACACGGAAGTGGAATAACTATATGTATGCATGTGTGTCTTTATTATTTTTTTTTTAAATTTACCGTTTATTTATAAATCTTTTTGCCATAATTATTATAGAATTTTATTACCGTTCAAGAAAACAAGCGATATTTGTGGAATAATTCTTTTTTTTTTTTTTTTTTTTGATAAATATTTTGTCCTCTCCATCTTTCTCTATTCCATTAGTCTCAAATATCAAGTTTTAGATAGTGTGGAAAAAAAATTTCACATCATTTTTTTCATCAACATCATCATTGTCGTCTAAATTCAAATCAAATTTTTTTTTTGATCTATTCATTTTTTTCCAATAAAAATAAAATACCTAAAAAGAAATACAAAACAATCACACAATCAACATAAAACAGCTCATCAATAGAATAAGCATAGAAAAGAGTGATGAGCAAGCTAGCAACCTCATTCAATATATAACATACATACACGTATACGTTTAGCATATAGGGAGTCCACAACAAACAAACACACAAAAAACCGTATACAAAGACTAACCAAAAAAAAACCAGCATACCAACCAACCATTCAGGACAATTGTGCATTCAGCAAACACACATACATACATACAGAAAAATACATTGAGAAAAAAAATACGATCGACACCAAACGGAAAAAGCAAGTTTGTACGAACAAAAAAAAAATTACTGGTCGGTTTGTTGGTTATATGTGTGTGTGTGTGTGTGTATGTTGTTGTATATTCGTATGTCGTAAGAAGAGTTTTTAATATGTGCCACGCATGCACACGAATATAATGGAAATCATCATCATCATCATTGAAGACGAAAACGAAAAAAAAAGACAAAGGAAGAGAGGATCACAACTCACGACGATCACACCACATAGACATACAATGCCAATTTCATTTTTTTTTTGTATATTTTTTGTCTTCAATTCGAATTGAAATAAATATAGCCAAAATAATAATGATAATAATAATAAAAGATTATTGGACAACAACAACAACAGAAGAAAAGAATGTTGTTGGTTGCCGTGTGTGTATGTGTATGCATGTCTCATTTATGAATACTACTCCTTTCGTTGCATATATATACAACACCTAGCATTTTTATCATTAAAAACAAACTTCCATATCCTTTTTATTGATGATGATTTGAAATTAATTCAATTCGATTGAAAAAGGGGCTTCCATCCAATGATTTTCTTTCTCTTTCTCTCTCTCATTCTCTTAAACACAAGTTTGCTTTGCAATTCAAAAAAAATTCAGGTAAAATTATTGATTCACACAGCAAATCATATTCATGGTCAATGTCAAATGTTTTAGATATGAAAAATAAAAAAAAGATAATAATACCATATTCTAGATTTGGTTTACCCATCATAGGTGATTCACTATTTCGACTTTTTCCTATAAATATAATTCTTACTTGGTATTCATTTGAAATCGGTACGTTTCTTCCACACACACACCGTTATTGTCTCCATTTTTTTTTATATTTCTCAATTCTCTTTTGCCATCTCTTCAATGATTACTTATTTGTGATATATGTAAGAATTTGTGTGTGAATAGTGTTCAGAAACAAAAAGGGCACGAGTGTGTGAGAAAAAAAAAATTAAACCGAATCAAAATGTACCGGAAAATAGGAGCTACGGATGAGAAGAATGGGAGAAAAAAAAAGAAAACGAGCATATCGTTTATTTTTTCCATTGTATATAGAAAATATTATAAAGAATCTATAGATAGCCTTGGATCCAGCGATAGATCAACCAACCAACCAACCAGCCAACAACACACAAAAACACACACACACATTCATATACATACAAAAAGACAAGAGTGCCCGGCGACAAACTCAAAAATATTTCAAACACACAACAACCAGAAACGAAAGATTTGTTTTTTAAATACAAACAGAATCGCAAAAAAAACCCAAGATAGGAAACCACCACAATGGCTGCTATAGAATACTCTCACACGTTTATGTATCGATAGATGATTATTCAGTAAATGATGGTTCTCAATTTTTTTTTCTATGCGTTTTTATTACAACAAGTTAAAGAATAAAAGAATATATCGCATACAAAACACATAGATTTATCTTTTTAACATTCATGTTTATTTTATTTTATTTTTGTCTCTTTCTTTAGTGCCAATTTATTCCCATCTTACATATTCGAATGTTTGATTGAAACGGTGAGTGAATGTATGACGATTCATATTTTAAGGCCATACATAAAGAGAATATAACCATCAGATCATCAGAATACTTTTGGCCATTTATACTAGCTCCTTTTAACATCAATCGATAGATTAATATTCCTATTTTCAATCCATATTAACAGGAATCGCCCACATCATATTGTATTGGCATTTTAGGATTAACACAATGATTTTTTTTTGTATCTCGCCGTCTGGTTTTGCTTAAAATTTTCTGGATCAATGGAATCTCATGATTTCGAATGGCTTTGGATATATTTAGAATAGAAATTGATTTCTTGAAAATAGACATACACACACACACACAGACATGAATTTTATAAAATGAATTCGATGATTAAGTCATACACTATTTTCAAATAATCGAAACAAACAAAAAATTGTTTCAAGAATCGATAAAGTTCAACATAAACATTGCAATAACAATGAAAACACAATTTTGACGTGAGATTTCCAATATAAAAATAGACATCAACACTAGACCAGATACTAGACATTTATTTTTATTAGATAATATGAAGATTGTATGAGTATCAAATAGATGATGATAATTATTGATGATTGATTGAAATGAAAATCATATCACACATATAAGAGCACATGTTGATTAGGCAATCAAAACACAATTACACACTCAGTTAAGAATTACATCAAAGAAAAATTCAATCAAATTGACAGAGTACTTGAGTGACACACTGATCATTATGTATAGTCTTCTTGATGAATACACCGATGCACACAAACACGAATTAACCATTGTTTTTTCAACAAGAAACACATAAAAATACACCTACCTAGAGAAATTTTCAATTTATCAAACACCTAATTCAAAAAAAAAAAACAATGATGTTGGCTAAATACACGAATTAGAATAAAGTACAGTGTGATAAGGAAAATAATTTGTGGCAAGGTTCGTTGCTTTCAACCTCGTGAATGTTAAATTATCAGCTGCCGGTAAATATATAAATGAATGACGAAAAAAAACGTACTCATTAAAAATGGCAACACCAAATCACGAATAAAAAAAAAAATTGGATGAAATGGGTATAAATCCCTATTCGCATTAAGATTGGACCAAATATCACACTTGAATTCAATTTAATGATGATAATAAGAAATAAGATGGTTCAACGTTGAGTTGATGATGATGATGATGTTACTATAATCGTTTTAATACGTAAACGAACACAAAAATAAACACAAAACACGTTGATTTTTTTGTTTGAAAATTTTTTTTCATTAATAATCTGATGATTAAATGATGTGACAATTATTTGCTGATTAGATTGTTGTCAATGTTGAATGTCCAATACAGGATTCATTGATAGAAAATGATATACCAATCAATCAATATTGGCAATTTATCGATGAATGATGATGATGATGAACAATCCTTGAATCGAATTGGAAATAGATTCAAATTAAATTCTGAAACTTCTTCCGCAAATATTTAGTCTTTTCTTCACTAAAAATTTCGGGTAACACCGAAAAAAAAAATTCATCATCTAAAAAAGATTTGTGGTGACGATGGTGGTGGTCATCATCATCAACGACATCAACATCATCATCTGCAGAACATAAGCATTAAGCACCAACACCATCAAACCAGACGTCATCATCATTGTCGTCGTCATTGTCTCTCTTGCTTACTCACTATTATTATTATATTGATTACTACAATGCCAGCTTTTTTTTTGTTCCAGCCGCCATGTTCAAGTCGACTAAAGTTTTTACAAACATACTCTGGAACAAACAACATTGGACTCACGACACGACTCAGCATCATTTGTTCGTTCATTCTACAATACACACGGAAAGAAGCAAGCAAAGGCACTTTTTATGTGTGCTGCCATCTCCATCTACTTTTGTCTCTGCTATTTTGCAGCTGCGGTCATCATCATCATCATCATCATCATTGGATACAGCTACATCCTATGCAGCAGGACAATGGACTTGACTTTAAATGATACATCGACCGCCACTACTACCACTATCAATTCTAATTTCAATGTATCACTCATTCATACTACTACTACACAGTTAGGTAGTAGCACTAATCTGAAATGTTCATGATATTAATAATTATCCCACCTACCTCTCCTCATCCTCCTCTATTCATTCACCTTTAAACACAAGCTATTGACTGGCGGCAAATGCAATGACAACTTTTTTCAAGTTCTAAATAAAAAATTTTTTATTCAGAATTATATTCTGATTCTGATTATTATTATTATTAGTTTTAATGCAATGAAATTGGATGTGGATAAGATGAATGGAAAAAAATGGCGCATGTTTCATTCAAATTCAGAATGAATGATTGAGAATCCATCATTGCGTTTGGTCCATCATCTATCGCGCATTCGATTATTTTCAATACGATTCTGTTTGTTTTATTCGCTTCAGTTAATTTTGGGGATTTTTCCAAATCTAAAAATTGTCCAAAAGTGTGTTGGCTTTGTTATATTATTAATTTCAATGAAAAACTAAGGATCAAAATGCTAACCCCACTTCATAGGAATCTAGCATATTAGCCAGAATAATATAAATACATACAGAGATTGCTCAGGATTTAGTTGCTGATTATTTTCTCACTCCGAAAAAAAAAAATGATTTTCACCATGATGGGCGTTGTATCCGAATTCTGTTATTAAATATTATGATGATAATATAAGGACAATGTAGATAATGATAATGTTTTTTTTATCAAAAATTTTTTTTGGAATCGTTTAGTTAGTTAGTTGAGGAAGAAAATGGGAAACAAAGTAGCCGTATTTACTGACCAACAATTGGAAAACTATCAGGTATTCACTATTTTTTTCTATCCATTTTTAAATTAAGAATCAAACATTTTCAATAGGATTGTACATATTTCACACGGCAAGAGATCCTCACGTAAGTTTATTCAAAATTTTTCAAAATTCTTTGATTTCAATTGCAGAATATTAGTGTATATAAACGATTTCGAGAATTAGATCCAAAAATTGTACCAGCCGTTATGACTAAAGATGAACCTCATACCATATCGATTCCAATGGAAAAAATTATCAAAATGGCCGAATTGAAAGAGAATCCATTCAAAGAAAGAATCTGCAAAGTATTCTCACATGATGGAACTGGAAATCTAACATTTGATGATTTTATCGATATGCTTTCCGTTTTCAGTGAAAATGCCAGTCGTGATAATAAACTTTACTATGCATTTAAAATATACGGTTTGATTTGATCGAAATTTATTGAATAAGTGATTGATTGATTGAATATTTAACATTAGATTTTAATGGTGATCAATTGATCAATGGTGATGATGTTGAACAAGTCGTACAGGCATTAACTCGAAATGAATTAAACCAAGATGAAATATCCATTGTAAGAGAAAAAGTTCTCGAAGAGGCTGATATCGATGATGATAAATGTATTTCTTTTTCTGAATTTCGACATGTCATCAGCAGAGCTCCAGAATTTCTCAAGTGAGTCAAATATAGTATAGCATTATATTATTCCTGTATCAATCAATTAATTCTTTACTTTTCTTTCGGTTTGTTTACAGTACATTCCATATGCGAATCTAATTCATATCGATTATTTATTTTTATTGGATGATTTATTCAATTCATATTTAATAACATAAAAATAGAATAATCTAATGTTGATTAACAAATAGTATAAATTTCAATTTTAAATAAATATAATAAATATATCTGAAAATACATTTGATTCAAAAATTTTTCCTACAAAATCTGACATCTAGCGTTCGAGATTATAACTAAAACGCTTTATGTTCGAAATTAACATTTAATCCATGAATGATGAATATAAGAAGAAATTCAGAATCTTCAATCCTTTAAGGCATTTGCCGGTCATCGTCGTGTATTTTGAGCATTATACATTGATTCAATATTATCCTGTAGAAGCTTAAATTGTTCTATAGAATTAAAAAAAAATAAATAGTCATTATAAATTTACTATTCTGTACTATCGATGAATTTTTTTTCTAAAATCTTACCAGCGGTTATATTGGCAATTGTACTCTGTTTTCGTAGAAATTCTAAACAAAATTCTTTAGATAGGCCAAATGAATTCATATTATGCGTGAAGGTGCTGAATTTTAATGAGTAAAATAAAAATTTTCAAAATCAAAAATAAAATTGAATGAATATAAATTGCTTACCCTAATTGACCGAAAGTTAAATTTGCATGAAATTGCCAATCATAATATTTATGATTTGGCTGTTCGCGATTATTTTCATAGAAATTTGCTCGTTCACATTGGATTGCATCAAAAAAGCAGCGTTCCAGAAACGTTTCAATTTCCAAATTGGCTGATCACGTAAAACAGTACAAAGATATTGTTTGTTGTTTTGCATTGAAACTGATGATGATGATAATGATGAATGTCTTGACCATCGATTATTGGCCATTGTAGATGTTGCTTGTGGTTGATAATGATAATAAGTGAAACACATATTCATCAATATTTTAGCTGGAGTAAAATCATCAGATTCAGCACATTCAAATAAAATGATGGCAAAATATTGGGCCAAACTGTAGAATGTCGATTCTTGGACACATTTATTATCATTACGTTTTCTATTGATAAATCGAGCAAACCAAAGTCTACCATTTTCCATTCGCGAATAATAACCAAATTTAGCTTTTTCATCCAAACTAATCGATGAACATTTGGTGAAAATTTTCTCCACAAATTGTTTCATAAAATATTTGGCCTCTCGAGATAATTCATCATGGTTTTCGGTGGTTACACTACATCCCGATGAGCTTGAATTCATTGATGAACATCGTCTGAATGGTTCTTGATCATTTTCAAATGATTCAACACTGGTACCAAGATCACTTACAATCCAATCTTGATTTTTCTGACAATCTAATGTACGTAAATCGGATAATGATGTTGAATTACTACCAATACTACTATGATTACATTCACTGAAATCCAATGAATCTAAACTTTTCCAATGATGTGAATTTTGCATATTCGTTGTTGTTGACTGATTCAAATTTATTTGTGGTTGTCCATATATTGAACGATTTTTTTTCAATCGTCGATTACTATTTTGCAGGTTGTTTTGAACATTTTCATTGAATGTGGAATCCCATTTAGTAGAAATTCCATGTAAAATATTTTCCTTAAATGTTTTCAATTTATTCGTTGAAGAATCAAGTAATTTATGGCGATCCATTATTATGGTGAATGCACTTGAATCACAAAAGAAATGTTTTCGAATGATTTATAAATATGGAAGACATTGGATACTGATTTTTTGTTTTGTTTAATATACTGTTTGAAAATAAACAATTTCATAGAATTAAATTGAATATAAAATTTTTTGTTTAAAAATTCATTCATCTAACCTGATTGAATGTTGTTGAGTTTTTGAATGGCTCTTAGTGATCATCCATTCAATCAATTTCAAAGTGGTGTATGTTTTTTCGTTATGTGAAAAAAAAAATTAATTCAATTTAATTATTTATCATCAAGTTGATCTCGAGGATGGTATATATGCAGGTGTTTGACAAATCAACATGATGGCTATGATTTTTTATGTCAAAATTACAATTTTTATTGAATGGAAAAATCCATCAAACATAGAGCAGAATTTTGGCCGAGAAAAAATAAAATTGATCCGTCACGGAGATGTAATAGCAATAAACAGAACACAAAATTTCGTATCACTGAACGGTTTGTATAACACACTCTGAAATTATAGAATGATGAAAATGAAATTTTCAAGAAAAATTTGCCATCATTTTGTTTCGGTTAGGCCTAAATACTGTGGAACAAAATCAAAGATCGAAGAGCATGAATTCAGAGCAATGTGTATTTTTATGTGATGTGAGAAAAAAAAATATGAATCTAGTACATTTGGATGGATGGATTTCCTAAAATTTCATTTTTCGTTTTCATTTAAAGGATATTCGATTTTGACGTCACATTCAATTTAAACGCCGGCTATATGTGTCGTTTTTTTTTACATTTCCTTCGACTATAGTAAATGAACAAAATTTCCTTCCTGACATATGAAAAAGGTCAACGCGTGTATATGTGTGTGTGTGTGTGTGGGTGGGTAGGTTGAGTATTTCTGTAATACGTGATCGATCGATAAATATTGTATCCAATTGTGTATATTGATCTGAATATGCGCGAATTGCTTCTTTCTTCGCGGTATCCAATGGATATAAATTGTAAACATAGAAAACATTGAAAAAAAAAATTTTCGTATCCAATGTTGATATATAGAGAAAAAAATTCAACCAATGTAACTCTAGTTACGCCATCTTGTAACAGATAATCTGATCGTTAAAAACTTGAAAAAAACCCAAATGAAATTTTTTATCAATTAAAACTATTATTATTAAGATAAAAGAAGAAAAAACTTGGATGCTTTCTTTTTTTTTTCTTTGGTAATAGTTTTTTTTAAAGAACGTATCGGGAGATCAAAGACACAGAGAAAAAAAAATGTTTATGATGATTATGATTTTTTTTTTTTTAAAGATTAGGTTAAACAAAAAGTACATTGAATGATGATAATTTCTATGATAAAATTGATATAGAATATTGGCACTCATCAGATCGATCATTAATGAAAAAAAAAATGAAATCGGAAACAAAATGAGTCGCCAAGTTGACAACGATATCGATAGTGATATTGATTATATTGATATATGGATTTCATATTTTTTTTCTTTCTTTCCAAACATCTTCACAATCATGAGGGAAAAAAAATAAAAATTTTCGTCCACGAATAAACATCAGACGCCATCATAGTATCAAGTATCATTACCATCATCAACATCATTTAAAATATTAGATGTTTGTACCAGCGTGGCCATGGCGTTTAATATATATCAGTGAATGACAAAAGAAAAAGACATATTAATGTGCTAAATTTTCTATTCAAGTTTAATCACGAATATTATTTTTTAAAAAATTCATGAAAAAAGAATTCTCGCCATCCATGCTTTGATTTGACATTTTATACATTTAAATAATTCTAATATCATCAATAAGACATTTTACACGTTGTATTCAACCAATATCTTTGAAATTTGTTTACATGTATTTGTCTGTGTAAGATGTACCTTTGAACCATTAATTTGAATTAATCAAACGAAAAATACAAAGTGTGTTTGGATAGATTACAGACGATTTAGAATTATATATTGACTGATTGTTGTTGTTGTTGTTGTTTTGTTTGAAAATTGACAATCTTTATCCACACAATCATCCAACCATATTCAACCAATAAATTGTCAAAACTAATGAAATGAACATTGATACTTCATCATCATCATCACCAACATCACCATCATCATCGACATCTTCAACATCATCAACATTCATAACAATTACATCAACCGGTGCCGTTATTCATCAATCACAATCACAACAACAGAATGATAGAATTTTAAATAATAATAATCAACACCAATATCATCTTCATTCTTATCATAATGCAATACCACAAACATCATCTACTTCTATTTGTCAAATTGTACAGCAACGATCCAATAACGTGAATGATGTTAAGTTTCGTAATAATAATAATAATAATAATAATCTGCAATCTACAACAATAATTACAAATACAAATCCAATCAATGTACATCATCAACAACAACAGCAACAAATATCATCGATTGATAAAATTACCAATCAATCATCATCAACGACAACGAATATTGGCGCTAATCATAATAATAATAATAATATTCAGAATCTACAACAACAACATCATCATCAACAACAACAACAACAACAACAACAACAATCATTAATCCATCATCAAACATCAGGTATACAACAATCACAATCACAAATACATGGAGTGATTGTACAACAGAATTCTTCATCAATCATTTCATCACAATCATCGTCACAACGTGAGTATCTTATCATCTCTAAAAATATGGGATCATTTTTTTTCCTAAAAAAAGCGATACTTAAAATTATATTGGCCAACACCAGGTGGCTCCTTTATGCAAAAAGTGTTTGAAAAAAAATCTTGATTTTGATTTTGAGTGAATTTTGATTGATAGAAAAAAATCAAGTATCACGAAAGAAATAGTGAATATCATCAAAAAAAAGCTATATACTCTTACAAGTTTTTTTTTGGCAAACATTTTGCTTATTATTGTCATCATTACTTATCAATCGATCAACAACAACGACAACAAAAAATTAAATCGAATGATGAATTGATTGGTTTAGTGATAACGAACCAATTTCTATTGAACCGATCACTAATTAAAGGGAATCACGGATTGCATCGAAGAAAAAAAAAACAAAATAATAAAATAAAAAAAAGGGGACCAGTGGTGAACAAAACAAGTTGATTATTTTGTAGTTTCATTTGAAATGAAAAACTGTGTTTTTTTCCCCCCACCACCAACCATCCCCTGTGTTTATTCTTAATGGATACATATAAATAAAGATAAAATGTCATCGTCAGAGTAATAATAATAATAATATATTTGGATGCAAATCATCGTTACATATCCTTGGCATTCATTTTTTTTTTTCGTTGACATTCTTTTTTTTATTAGCTTTATAAATTGGTTTAATAATTTTATTATAATCCTCATCATTATTATGGTAAAAAAAAATCCGGATCATCATCACCTGATTTAATTTTCTGATGATAATAATGTTCAATGTTGTAAAAAAAAAGAAAAATTTGAGCCATAATTCGTGCGTGTGTCATAATATAATAATTTTAATAATTTCAATTAAAGTCTAATTTTTGTTTTTACAACAATCGGCAAAGAACTTGGTCGATTTATGAGTTTTCATTTTAATATAATATATCACACGTCACCACAATTTCTTTGATAATAATAATATACAACAATAGTAACAGTAACAGTCGTTTCAAGGATCATTGTATTTTTTTTTTTTTTTTTAATAATAAATGAACAATTTAGGCGGCCAATATTGATTGATGATAATCAAGACGGTCAAATCTGTTTGAATGTTGTTGACCAGTATGGCCACCAAACGATATCACACTGTATTGACCAAACAAAAAAAAACAACAACAAGAAAAAATATTATCAACATTGTCGCTATGTAAATTTGTTCATCGTCGTCGCCTAATGTTTATATGCACAATACATACATACATACATGCATACATATTGACTATGGTCAAATAAGTTATTGGTCATATAAGATTGTTTACCTTAGCTTATTATCAGTGAAAAAATATGGTCTTTGATTAGCCTATCGCATTTAAAGTATATTTTATCTGACCAGTTTTGACCACCACCAATTCAAACGTTTTCTTGTCAATGAATAATCATATTTTAGTTTTTTTTTCTTATGTAGATATGAAATCCAAAATGGAAATTTTCGTTTCTTTTATTTTCGATTCATTCATTCATTCATTCATTCATTCGAAAACTATTCCATACATACAAATATAAAATAGAAGAATCTGGCTCTATAACGAAAGTTGAATGATTGTGAAGTAAAGTGAATAAAAAAAAAAAAAAAAAAAAAAACAGAAAAATTCTCAAACATCATCATCATTACAACAAACAGGTTGTGTTCACTTAGCCATTGGCTGTCATAGATGTGTGTGTGTGTGTGTATAGACTGCCATTTGACCGGCTAACATATCCAGACACATCCATTCTTTGTTTCATTGGTGCACATTCACCCATCCACCAGCAGCTTATGGTTGCTAAAAGTTTAAAAAAAAAAAATAGAACTAAAACTGTTCAACAAGTTTCAATGGATATCCTATAAATATGTGTTGTGTTTTTATAATGTAAAAACTTACTTGAACTATGAATTCGACATCGTATTTGATAATAATTTGTGTTATTGCTTATTTTTTTTCCTAGGATTCCAAGGTTCTATTATGAACCATGAAATCAATGAAATGCGTCCATTTGTACTTGAACATGGGTTAGGTTTTTCTTTCGAAAGAAAAAAATCCAAAATCAAATATTAAAAAACGAATCCATTAATAAAAATTAGAATTAATTATCATTATTAAAACCAAATGGAAAAGAAAAATCAATTCTCATAATACGGTAACAAAAAAAAAAATTAGTAATCCAAAACTATAAAGTGTTCATCATCATCATCATTTTAAAATAAATTGTTCCCCTCGTACTCATCATCATCATTATTGCTGTCGATATTATCGTCGCTGTTGCTTACCGTTATCAAAATCACCATTATCATCATCATCATCATCATCAGTGATTTAAAGTCGACCAGTTATCATCGATCTTAAACCAACATATATAAGTATATGCTAAAATAAAATTTATATATTATTGAATAAGAAAATAAAACGAAAGAGAAGATATTATTATTATCAGCTTTGGTAGCCATACATCCAAAACCAAAACAACGAAAGAAAGAAAAAAAAAAAAAATACCAGCAGCTCGATAATTTACTTTGTATGATGCGAAGTTTAGCTATTGCAATTTAGTGTTATTCTTCTTCGTCGTCATCGTCAATTGTCAGCGAATGCGAGTTGGTCGCATCATCATCATCATCATCAATCCATCAATCTAAACATCACCTACCATCATCATCATCATATTTGAATTTGTATTTATATTGGATGCGTATATAAATTATGGCTCAATTTCTTCAAGTTTTTCAAATGCTCATCATCCAATTGATTTGATAAGCACGAAATAATCGACATCAATGAAAAAAAAAATTTTTTTTTTGTCGACTAAATAAAAAAAAAAAAATAATAATAAAAAGAAAATTTGAGCTATATCTTCTTTTCTCTGTCATCGTCAATTTATCTTGTATATTGATTTTTTGAAACATATTTAATTTTTCATTCCATCATCAACATTTTCTTAATGGGCACAATATTCGGTCAATCAATTGAAACAAAATCATTGGCTATATTAAGCCAATATCGATTCTTGATGACTACATTCAATCTGGACACAATTTGAACAATACTCATTCAGTAGATATATTCCTATTATATATATTATTTTAATTTTTATAAAAAAGTGAAATTTTTTTTGTCAATTTAAAGTAATTCTTTTGCATATCTTATTTCAGTGTTTTGTGTGTATATGTGTGTTTTTATGAACAACAACATATCATTTGGCAAAAATCAACATTGAATTTATATCGTGCATTTTTTTTTCTGTGTATACATTTAAAATCCTCGAAACAGATCGAATTTAATCAAATGTGGTACAAAGGATCAAAATGTTGACCCATACGCAAGGACCAGCGTGTCGGTTTATGTATGCGTCAACAAACGCTACATACAGTGGAAATAATAGTCAATCACCATATAATTATTTTCCAATAGACTTTAATGCACCACAACCCCCATCACTAATGTTTCGTTCACCACAACAAGATTTATCTGATACGACTGGAAATTTTTTCTGCAACGGTCCTGTAGATTATTCCGGTCTTAACAATTTAAATTCAACTATTAATTCATCAATGGAATCGATTAATGAACATGATGATGCAATGGTTTCATCGCAAAGTTCACCAGAATATATGGCCAACGCTACTAATAATAATAGTGATTACAATAGCGGCCCTATCTATTATAATTTATCAAATGAAGATATATGGAATAATCCATCATTATCCACCGTTTCTGTCAACAATAATGATGATTGTATGGATATTGTCGATTCGGTTGGCAACAATAATAATAATAATAATAATAAGAAAAATGATATTTCTGGCTGTGAAAAAATGGACAATGCTCGAATGATTCAACAACAAAAGATTAAAGATGAAATAAGAAATAATTATATCGGTATTGATCTCTAAATCTTATTTTTAAGGAATTTTCAGTTTTTGTGTGTGTGTGTGTGTGTGTGTGTGTGAAAATAATGAAAAACGTATTATCATTAGAACGAAAGATCTAGTTGTGCACCACCTTTGCAACCACTTTATAGCATGTGACAATCATCGATTTTTATGATGATGATGATGATTATGATGATGATGATAATAATAATAATAATGATAGCCACAATTCATTTGATATGATAATTGCAACATCAATCCGTTCCGTTTTGCTATCGACATCATCGTTCGTAATGATCCGCAAAAGAAATTTTCTGTCCTTTTTCTTTCAAAAAATCATCTACATAAGTACATTTACAGCGTTGAAAGTTTGATTATTAACACATTATTGATATAATATAAAAATTGAATTGGCATAAATAATTTCGATCATTTTTTTTCATATTTCATGATTATTATGATTGCAACATTAGGTACATGATAATGAAGGTGATTGTCATATATAAAAATCTTATGATGATTCCATTCTTTTCATTTATTTTAACGATCAGAAGATCAAACAAGTTGTTCACGAATAATGAATGTGCATTGTTTTGATCGACAATTTTTTGAGGTCCTTGTTCAAGAAAACGAAGAAGACGACGGTTTGAAGATTTCTTGTAAAAATGTTTATGTTTTTTTTTGTTCACTCATAATTACGCATTAGAATTTGGATTTCCCAATTCAAATCGACGAATAAAATTGAATGTGAGAGTGAAAGATCGGTCAAAAATCAATTTTTTATAGATTCAAAAAAAAATCCACCCTCTTATTTCCAAATCATGGAGTTCAAGAAACTGTTTAATATTGTTTTTAAAATTTTTTTCTTCTGTTCTTGTTTTTTTTTGTCTTGAATCAAAGTTTTAACCGAGAACGAAATATTATTCAAAAGTATTTATCCGGTAGAATTTTCAAGTTGTAGTTTGCAAACAAAACAAAAAAAATAAAACTAATTTACCGCTTATATAATTTATTGTTAGAATAACCTCGATGATGATGATGATGATGATGAGAAAGAAAATTTTCGTTGACTTTGTTATGTCTGGCCTTATTATTATTATTATTATCATCATCATCATCATCATTGGTAGAAAAAAAAGAAGGATAAGTGAGTGTGTCTATGATTGTCGGAAGGTTAATTTTTTTTAATCACTTTCTCATATAATACCTGAAAAGAATTCGGTCTGTATCGTGTAATCATCTAGGTTTATCACAAATGCTGCCAGAAAGGAGAGAAAGCAAAAAAAAAAAATTAAACAAAACATAAACAAACATGTTCCATGTCGTACATTATCAAATACATTGACTAGAATTTTATCGTAGAACTCGATTATTATCCGTACATATCAGAAAAAAAGGATAGAAAAAAACTTTGACCAACACCGCAACAAAATTTTTTTTTGTTTGTTTCGTTGTTTATTATAATATCACATCATAATCACCATTATCATTGATGTTGTCTTTCATTTTTTCTTTTTCTTTTTTCCCCATTTGAATGTTCATTATTGCATATATAGATTCAACATGTGATTCTATCAATAGCAATGCTAACAATAATAACAATATGACAACGAATACGAATGGTTTAACTTCGACGGATAACAACCAGAGCAACAACATGGCCAATATGAATGGTAATGGAAATGGTAATAATCAACCAACGACAAATAATGAAAATAATAATAACAACAACAATTCCGGCCATCAACATATACAAAATTCACAGATATGCGCCATTTGTGGTGATCGTGCTACCGGAAAACATTATGGAGCATTCAGCTGTGATGGCTGTAAGGTAAAATTAAAGTTCAATATTGCCAATACAATGTCTAAATTGATATACTATTGTATTATAAATTGAACTATTTTTTACAGGGATTTTTTCGACGTAGTGTTAGAAAAAATCATCTGTATACATGCCGTTTCAATCGCAATTGTGTCATTGACAAAGATAAACGTAACCAATGTCGATATTGTCGCTTGAAAAAATGTTTTCGTGCCGATATGCGTAAAGAGGCGGTTCAAAATGAACGGGATCGAATTACGTGCCGTAGGCCTAGCTATGAAGATACCAAAACAACATCGGGAACATCATTGGCTGTTTTGCTCAAAGCTGAAATGTCATCAAGGAAGGTGAAGGATAATAATTCGAGTTTATTCTATTAATAAAATAAATTATGCGCATTTGTCCAAATAATCCGCAGAATTGTTCTCCACCAACAGATACAAATTTTCAATCGAAAAAAATAGCCAACATTGAAGATATTGGAAATTCTATGACACAACAATTATTGATACTGGTTGAATGGGCAAAATGTATACCGGCATTCACTGAGCTAAACATTGATGATCAGGTTGCCCTGTTGAAAGCTCATGCTGGTGAACATTTACTTTTGGGCCTTTCGAAACGATCATTAGTACTCAAAGATGTTCTTCTACTCGGAAACGATCATATCATTCCTAGACTTACACCAGATCAAGAGATCACACGAATAGGTTGTCGAATATTGGACGAAATCGTTGCAGTTATGAAAGATGTAAATATCGATGACAATGAATTTGCTTGCTTAAAAGCAATTGTATTTTTTGATCCTGGTAAGTACTACAACATTTTTTTTACTATATATTATTTATATTGAATGAAATTATTTTCGATGTGAGAAGCTGTGAAAAATTTAAAAGATTCAGCTAGAGTAAAAATTGTTCGTCATCAAATACAAATCTGTCTGGAAGATTATGTGAACGATCGCCAATATAATTCAAGGGGACGTTTCGGTGAGCTTTTGTTGATACTTCCATCTTTGCAGAGTATCACATGGCAATTGATTGAACAGATACAATTCGCCAAGGCATTAGGAAAACTAAGCATCGATCATTTGATCCAGGAGATGCTTTTAAGCAGTTCGACTAATCTAGCTCCGACAACACCGGCTGCATCAAATATCAATTCAGCTCAAAACAATCTTCCTCCACCTCCTCCAACAGATCCATTACAATGGCAAAGGAATCATCTATGGCAGGGTGCTTATCCTAGTAAGTTATCTATTTTATATGTCGAATAATGTGTATTAACAAATGATCCATTTGAAGGGCAAACATTCCCTGAGCCAAATATGAGCAATATGGTTTCCAACATGTCTCAAGTAGTGAATGTTATTATGTCACAAGAACCAAGTGAAAATAGACAACAATCCAGTCTTGGACAGCAACAAGCTCCCCAAATACAATCACCATTATCATCAAATCAGCCAACAATGGCTAATGGAGCACAAATGTTGGGACAAGTGGAAAACATTATGCAGCAAATAAACAGGCAAGAACAATCTGGTCTAATTAATACAGATGATCTACGATCCGCACCACCGCCACCGGTGCAAACATTCAAAAGTGAAATAACCGATACGGAAATCAACCCATTCTAAGAATGATGAATCTGATTTTTTTTTGTTTTGTATAAAATTGTGTAAAAAATTTACAAAATACTAAATTAACTTAGAATTATTTTTACAGATTATGAATTCTTTATTTTATTTTCGAAATAAATAAAATATATCGGAAATGGGCTGGGATAGAAAAAGAAAAAAGCCAACAATAAAGATATTAGAAATTCGTTTTATATTTTTTCACTTCAACCATTAATTGATGAATATTGATCAGTTCGCTTCTTAAAGGATTATTGCTGAATGGTGGTTGACTGACAATTTTCTGAAATTTATGATAATATTGCACTAATTGTGTCAAGGCAATCTGTTGAATGTTATTTCCATTACGGAAATTAGTGAATGATGCCATTATATCTTTGGAAACCTGTTCCAATGATCGTCGCCAATTATTGTTGAAATTTTGTATCAAATCACCAACTCTTGGTTCCAATCGTTTCAACGATTCTGTATCGTTTTTTTCTGTTAACACTTCAGATTCTTTAACGAATGAAATCATAGCTCCAAAATGAGGATACAACATTTCTTCAATAAAATCCATTATTTTTTTATTCAATTGTTCTCTCATCGTTTCGGCTTCATTTGATCCATCTTTTTTACGTTCCAAAAGGACGCCCAAGATTGTGTCATAATTATTGATGATGAAAACATACTGTTCTTTTGGTTTACAAAATTTGGTTGACATTCGTAATATTAAATTCATAACTTCGTTCTATATAAATAAAAATAAACATTAGTATTTCATACCTAAAAAATAAATGAATAAAAACATTACCTGTAATATGGATAATAAATTAGTAACACGAACATCTGGAAACGTATCATTGATTGTGACAATAGCAGCGGAAAATTCAGCAAATCGTCTGGTAATATAATGAGGTCTCATATCGATTGTGGCTATCTTGATTAGATCACAGAATTTTATGCTTTCAATGTGCATCAAAAATACTTGTTCAAATTGTGGCCATATAGTCTTGACAACACGTTCCCAATAATGACTCAATACGATTACGTTACGTTTCAACGATAATATTCGATAACGATAAATTATGTGCAAACAAACAAATAACGCTATGGCATCATAACTTTGAGAGAAAAGACTATCAATATTCTTATAAAGTAGATCCAAAGTTTTTCCAAAAATCGTATAAAATAAATCATGTGATGTTTTAGAATTGACCATAAAAAATTCATTCATAAATAAATATTCACGACAAGCATGATCAAAAAAAGCGTATTGTATTTCACGAAAAACATTTTCCAATGGATATTTCATATCGTTTTTAGTTGCAGCATGCACGACAATCAATGGCGATTCAAGTTCAATTGTCAACAACGATTCTCTATCACCCAAAGAAAAAATATTAGGCCGATGCTTAACAACATTGGATTTGAGGTTAAATATTGAAATTTTATTGGCCTTATGAGAATCATCATTTCCCATTAAGTCATCTTTATCGGGTAGATCTTCATACATCATTTTTGTAGATTTATGAATAAATTCTTTGAAGTATGAAAAGTAAATTTTGCTCATCGTATCGATGTATTCATTTTGTATTTCTCTTGCTATATCTCTTTCGTGTGTAGCTAAAAATTTGAAAAAGAATTTATTCTTCAACAGAGCATTTTGAACAATATGATAATTGGTCATTGGTTTTTTGCATGATGAAATTTTTTCAGAATATATTCACGTATCTTGATAATAGCTTTCGATTTAAGATTGTTCAATATTTCCATCACATCAACACAAGCTTTTGCTTCACGAAATGATTGCTCCTTGACGAATGCAATTTTATGATCCAAAATGATCAATTGTTCAAGGAATTCTTTCTCACAAACTGGAGTATCGACAATATGTTTAATCACGGATTCAGGAATAATTATATCATCAATGAATTCGCTCATTTGATTACGAATGGCTTGTTTGTTCTTCAAACGTATATTCAACGAAGCTGACAATTCTTGCAATGATAATATCTCCTGACAAATATTGCTAAGATCGGCCTGAAAAGCACATAACATTCCCTCTAATCTTTCCAAGATTTTATCACTATCAGTGATTTGTAAATGCAATTCAGAAATGTTATCAGCTTCCTTGATGTAACCAGCAATAGTATTGTTTTCCAATTCGGATAAAGATTTTTCAACATTGGCAGAATATTCTCTTAAATCAATATTGGAATTAAGAATTTCTTTCACCGTTTCCTCATCACAATCGATGGCTGGTTCTATAATGGATTAAAAAATGGTATTTAAACAGAAATTTAGTTACAAAAAAAATTACCAATAGTCTCCAGATTCATTTTGAATATTTATTCGTTGTTTAGTTGGAAGTTTTGACCAAATTCATTTGACAAGAAAAACATCCATGAATCCACTCATTTCTGGAGTGTGCGCAATATGATAGACAATTGGATACTTTGATCCATAGCTCAAGTAACGCGAAATGAGGCGGCTGTAACTAAAATGAATGCTGCTGTTATTTGAATTTGTTCCTAAATCTAGTCTGATTGTTATTGAGCTTGTACAATGATCAACAGGATGAATCGTCAGCTACAACGACCGGAAATAGATAAAAACAGCCTTTGTACGATAGGTTGGCTAGAAAATTCACTGGAAATGAGCAAAATCAAATACAAGCAAAACAGATGGTCAAAACAACATCGAGAAAAAAAATCATGTTTGTTATTATTACGTGAAACGATAATAGCATGAATCGTTCAGTCTTCAAGGATTATTTGTTTGCAAAAAATGATTGCCACTTGGATCATGAATTAATTCGTCGACTAAGTGAAGGTTTTTCATGCAGAAAAATCGAAGGCAAATCATCACGATTAGAAAAGCGAAAATTTTGCATTCGATTCGAGATGTGTCGACTTGAATGGTATAAACCAATGTCAGGATATGAAGAGTTCGAAGGTTGTATCGATTTTAGAGACATCCAAGAAGTCCGCATTATCGAAGAAAATGGTGAAAAGTCTGAGAATAAAACATTTGCCATTCTATATGGGAAAAAGTTCTGCCTTCGAAAATTGTATTGCATTGGTAAGTTGTTGAATTGTTTCTTATATCATTTTGATGGATACGAACTTTTCTGTATGAGCAGCTGATGCCGACATTTGTCCAGAAAGAATTCGCAATTTGTTTAAATATATAAAAAACATTGCAGAATGGGCACCGTTTAGAGTTCAAGTTGACATTCTATTACAGCGAGAATTCGATGAATATTCTTCACAATGTCAACATTGTAAAGGGTAAGATTAACCATTGGAGAGAAAATCAATTTTGATTTTATCAATAAATTTTTTCAGTATCTATCTAAAAGATTTAAAACATTGCATCACTCGTCATCATCTGAAATTATCAAGCAGTCAATTGAAAAAGTTATTCTATGATGTGGATCAAAATTTTACTGGCTGTCTGGAATACGATGGATATGTTACACTGTACAATAAAATTAATAACATTCAAACCTCTCTCGATTCATCATATCTGGATTTATTATTGCAATCATATTCAAATGATTCGAAAAAAATCAGCATCGAAGAGCTAAAAGAATTTTTCATCAAAGAACAAAAGATCAAAATATCGTTTCAACAGATTAGCGACATTGTTTTTCGAAATTCTTTGGATGCACTACGTCATTATGAAACACAAGCATATTTTACTCGAATTGAATTTATTGATTATCTATTTTCGAAAGAAAATTCTGTCTGGAATGAATTCTGCAGTGATGTTACACATGATATGAATCAACCACTTAATCATTATTTTATTGCTTCATCACATAATACATATTTGACTGGTGATCAATTCAAAAGTGAATCTTCAGTCGAATGTTATATTCGATGTTTGCGTTTTGGTTGTCGATGTATTGAATGTGAGTGTTTATTTTTGGAAAAAAATCATTAAACAATAACATTATTATTATTATTTTCATATGCTCAAGTGGATTGTTGGGATGGACCCGATGGTAAACCATTGATTTATCATGGCAGAACATTAACAACGCGAATACAATTTATCGATGTCATTAAAAGCATTCGAGATCATGCATTCGAAGTTTCGCCATATCCTGTAATATTATCCATTGAGAATCATTGTAGTATAAAGCAACAAAAATTTATGGCACAATGTCTACAAGAAATTCTTGGTGATTATTTGCTGAAAAAACCATTAGATTTGAATGAAACCTGTTTACCATCACCTGAACGATTAAAACGAAAAATAATCATAAAACATAAGAAAAGAAGACTAGATTCTGATACTACAAAAGAATTAAGCAGCCTCAATAATTCAATCAAAGTGCCTGGTGAAGCTGGTTCCATCAAATCACTCAAAGAACGTAATGAAAATGACTATAATGAATACAGTAATTCTATTAAATATGGAAATTTGCTTGTATTCTCTGCCGATGAGAAAAGATTCAAGAAACATTTTGTCATTTTGACAAATAAAAAATTAAATTATATTCTCGATACAAATGATGATCAAGATGAAGAGGAAGAGGAAAGTGATGATGAAACATCATACGGAACAATAGGAAACAAAGAAAACAATTATTCAGCAAAACGTGGATCGCCCAAAAGTGAACTTCATTATGGTGAACCTTGGTTTCATGGTAAGCTAAAAGGTGGTAGATCAGAAGCCGAAAAAATTCTCTTAAAACATTTAGATCTTGGTGATGGAACATTTTTAGTACGGGAAAGTGAAACACATCCAGGTGATTATACTTTATCATTTTTATTCGACAACAAAGTACATCATAGTAGAATCAAATTGGATTGTCTTGATAATGAAATCAAAACTTTTCGACTAAATAATCTGATAAGTTTCAATACGCTGTACGAATTAATCGATTACTATCAGACAAAACCATTGAAAAGTGACAAATTTCAAGAATTGTTTTTACGTAACTTTGCTCCACAAGAAAATACTCATGAAAATAGATCATGGTTCTATAAGGATTTATCTAAAGAAGAAGCTGAAGATATTCTAAAACGATTACGACATAATGGTGCATTTCTTGTCCGACATAGCGAGCAACAGGATAATCAATTTTCAATTTCATTTCGAGCTGAAAACATTATTAAACATTGTCGAATCAAAAAAGAAGGCCGATTATATATGATTGGAAATGAAGAATTTGAAAGTCTAACTGAACTAATTGAATTCTATGAGGAACATCCGCTTTATAAGAAGACAAAACTTTTGTTTCCAGCTACACAAGAAAATGTTCGAATACTAGGAGGAGTAAGTTACGATAGTGATATTTTGAATATTAACGTGTTTTTTTTTAAAAAACACAAACAGGAACCAACAGAATCTCAAAGTAGCTACATGGAACATGGCCTCATTCCAACGGAAGAGCCAAAAGATTCGCAATATTTTGATAACGAAATGAAAGAAGAAAATGAGAATGATCAAAATCAGGATGAAATCGAAACTTGGTGTTCAATTGAGCTTGATCAAAATGTTACCGTATCAGTTTATCCTGCTGAATTGAATTCATTCAAAGTTGGATCAATGATATTTATGGCACAGGATGAAATCGAATGTCAGGATTGGATGATAAAAATTCAAGAAATTCTTAATAAAAAAGTTAAAGTAAGTAATATAGGATTAATATTCAAATAATCAGCTTTTCTCTTTATCAGAATAATAATTCAAACAAAGAATCATCAAAACGACAAATTCTTAAGATCGCTCCTGAATTGAATGATTTAATCATATATTGTTGTTCAATTGGATATGATGGAAGTATGTATGAATTGAATAAATGTCATAACTATAGATTAAAAAAAACGCGTATGAATTTTCCATAGAGACTACGAATTACAGAGAAATGTGTTCGATTCGTGAATCAAAAATTGAAAAACATCTAAACAGCAGCCAATATAAAAATATTATAAATTTTACACGCCATCGATTAATGCGTGTCTATCCAGAAGGAACACGGATATATTCATCTAATTATAATCCTATACAGATGTGGAATTGTGGCATACAAATGGTTGCATTAAATTATCAGACAAAAGATAAGCCGATGCAATTGAATCATGCAAAATTCTTACAAAACGGTCAATGTGGTTATGTTCTGATGCCATCGTATATGAAAAGTGAAAGCTATAATCCATTTGTAAAACCTGTTGATCTTGATTGCTGTTCACCTATTGTACTCACTGTTAAAGTACGATTATCATTAATATTTTATTATTCTAATTATAAAATTAATATGGTAGATAATTTGTGCAAAAAATCTGAGAAAATTAATCAAAGACATATTGAGTCCTTCGGTAGAAGTCGAAGTTATTGGTGCCGATTTTGATTGTAGAAAATATGCGACAAATATAATTTGTAAGTATCATCATCATTATTATCATCAACAATTAATCAAAATAAATTACAGACGATAATGGCTTATGTCCAACATGGACAAATGGAAATCAATTTATTTTCCATATAACTTACCCGGAAATTTCATTATTACGATTTGTCGTTTATCATCGAGATAATTTTGATGAAAGCAGTTTGGTAGGTCAGGCTACGTTTCCTGTTTCCTGTATCCGACAAGGACTACGAAGTATAAGATTGAAAAATGAATACAGTGAACACCTTGAGCTGGCCACTTTGTTAGCTCATATCGAAAGTTTTCCGGTCAAAGTACAAACGATACAAATCAGATTAATTTTAATTCAATTTTTAATTAAATTAATTTTTATCATTAATCATAGGATGAAGGCGTCGAAAAGCTAAATCATTCGATTGAACTTTTATCACGGTTGGAAAATGAATTGCTAACACGATGAACATATTACAAATGATACCGCCTTGGAAATGTGATTTCTCATTCAAATTCATCTAATTGGAAAATTTTTCGGAAAAAAATATTCCTGCAACCTTTTGCACGTCCTTTATGAAAAATAAAATTGATTTTATCTTTTTTTATGAAAATTGGGTTTAGATTCTTCTTTTTTATTTCCCTTTTCAGTATTTTTTATTCTTTTCAAGCAATTATCATATATAACGGCGAATATCAGACAAGAATTCTAAATACGAATTGTTCTGCATTCAAATTGTTATGGTCATGTGTTGTTATGTTTCTTGAATCAAATCACAATGCTCATTTTTTATTTATTAATTTATGTTTTATAGTCAGTAAAGAATTTTATTATTATTTAGAAAATCTACTGTGATATTATACTGAATTATTATTATTTTAATCATGGTCGATGTATCACCATCATCGGTTCAAAGTCCTGAAACACAAAATCGTAAAGATTCGTTACAGAATTCTAGCCTTCTTCTTTTATCCATCATTTTGATATCAACTTTGTCTTTATTTATTGTTTATCTTAATTTTCCCAAACTAGAGCCGTAAGTTGTTTGCATCGATTAAATATTTAAAAATATTTATTAATCCACACTTGTTTCAGTCATGAAAAGCAGCATTTCAAGTTGCCTATGAACATTGATGATGCCAAAAATTTGGGAAACGTTTTATCTGGGTACAAAGATCGATATTTTTACGTCGTTCTTTTCGGTTTCATTGTCACTTATATTTTGTAAGTTTTGATTTATAACCTGAATTATTTTAAAATTTTTTTTTATTAATATAAAGCTTGCAATCATTCGCCATTCCTGGTTCAATTTTCTTGAGTGTTATGTCTGGTTATTTATTTCCATTACCATTGGCTTTATTGTCCGTTTGTTTCGTAAGCAATTTTAAAAAAATTCTTGACTAGATTTTACAATAATCATTCTTATTTTCAGTGTTCTGCTGTTGGTGCATCGATATGTTATTTACTTTCATGTCTCTGTGGCAGACCATTTATAATTAAATATTGGCCAGATAAAGCAAACGTTTTGTCCAACATAATCGATCAACATCGTAGTCATCTCTTTTACTATATGATTTTTCTGCGAATCACGCCATTTTTACCGAATTGGTTTATAAATATAACATCCCCCATTGTTGATGTTCCATTATCTACATTTTTTATTGGAACATTTTTAGGTATGTTCAATGGTAATTTTATCAAGCATTCGAATATTTTTTAATTTTTAATCATTAATAGGTGTTGCACCTCCTTCATTCATTGCCGTCCATGCCGGTACAACTTTATACCAGCTAACATCATCATCGAATATAATATCTTTTCAATCTATGATGATGTTGTTAGCATTCTCATTACTTTCTTTGACGCCCATCATTCTGAAACGAATATTTGCTGATAAATTCAAAAAGCCTTAACTCATTCAACATGAACACATTTAATTTTTTGTATTTATTTTCTAAATAATTTTATTTTTGTTTGATGATCATTTTTCATAGTTAAACAATTTTCCCTTCCCATTCATATTTCACACCATCATTGTATTTCCGGAATAGATTCCCAAAATTCTTTTTCCATTCATCATAATCGGGTTGTTGGTCAAATCGTAAAGATCTTGTATATGTCAAAAAATTGGCAAACTCTCGTGGATAACCTTCGGATAGATTTTCCGGAGGTGTCGTCTGTTTTATATGGCCAATTTTACGATAACGTTCTTTCAAAGTGGATGCTTTCAAACCAGACCATGGTAATTTACCTTTACGCAGAAAATACATGAACAAATGACCCAAAGATTCAAGATCATCACGTCTTGATTGTTCAATACCAAAATGTGCATTGATGCTCATATATCGAGCCGTACCAGTCAAATTTTTTCCCTCCCGAAATGGAATATGCTGACCAGTATTGGGATCGATGAATTCTTTAGATAAACCAAAATCTACAACATGTACAATATTACGATTGGCTAATCCTGGATAACCTAGAAGGAAATTTTCCGGTTTTACATCTCTGTATGCAATACTAGTTTTTTTATATTAGAAGAATCATTATTTATATTCAAAGTTGTTGTAATTTTATCTCTTACTTTTTGCTATGAATAAATTCAAACCGATTTAATAATTGTAAAACCAGATATAAAATTGTTTTGATTGTGAAATTCTGTCCGCATGATTGAAATACTTCATCCAGATTTTTTCCTAAAAGTTCGATAACTAGTACATTGTATCTAAACCATTGACCAAACCAAAACACTTTTGGAAAGCCTATAACTTGATCATCTTTGCCATGTAGAAGTTTATATATCTTCAATTCATTTGACAATTGTGCTCCTCGATCTTTGCTTGGCTCGAATTTTATCGCCACTTTTGGTGAACGGCCATCAATGTTTTGACCAAGAAAAATTTGACCAAATGAACCTGATCCTAATTTTTCTAAAGTTTTAAAATTACCACCAATTATTGTGTCTGGTTTTATATCTTGTCCATTGGCAACCTTAACCGGTTCATAATCGTCTTCCAACCATGAATTTGAATCATAAGACATAGACATTGTAAAACTATTGCCGATCGCATTAACAATTGTTACGATAGAAAAAAAATCAAGTTTTAAATAACACCCAATACGATTATTAATAAACCAAATAATAATCGAATAGAATCGAATTCTCTATTTATTTCATCATATAACAAATTAATCAATAAAACTTGATAACATTATGACTGCTACTTGGAAATAAATTGATCGCCATTGTTGTAATATTATGATGACGATTTTTTTATATATATATGTTGTCGACAGATATGTTTAAACAAGCTGTCCATTAATTAATCATCGGTGGTTATACTGATCGGGTGGTGTGTGTGTGTGTGTGTTGTATGTTGTTCCAAAATAAAAAAAAACGATCATGATTCTTGAGTTGATTTTCATTTTCGATACTTGAATGAATGATTGTAGCTGCATTTTTTTCGCTGTTTATTATTATAATAATATTGTTATTGATATTATTATTATTATTAGTTGGAACAAAAGTTATATGTCTCTATTGAGCATTTAGCTCATAATAAAAAAAAGAAAAAAGAAAACCGGAATAATAACATATTTTCTAATGTTGTTAAATAATAAACATTAATAAACCATTGTATTAGTTGCATGCACATTTATGAAAAATAAAACAACCGAATGGTTATGAGTGCCGTCTGGCTCTTATCACAATAATAATAATAATAATCATCATCATCATCATCATCGTCATCAATGATTCTTTTTTTTCTGATGAAAAAAAAAAGAATCGAAGCAAAACAAACGATCCACAAAAGTGTTTCCATATTTTTTTTTTTTTTTTCATAAATAGAATGAGGAAAAAAAATGTTTGTTTGGCCAAATCTGCAAGTGACAGATTTGATTTTGGACTTTCTATCTGTACATTGTGTGTGTGTGTGTGTTTGCCATTCGTATTTAAGAGTATATGCATTGTGCTTCCATTATTCGGTGACAAAACTAATTTACTTTTTCCGCCCGCCCAGTTTGAGTGTGTGTGTGTGTGTGTCTGCATGTATGTATCAATGATGAAATTCTTGGACCCTGAAGACAATCAGAAAGAGAAAATAGCCCACACACACACAAAACAGAAATCGAATACAGAAAAAAAACTCGATTTATATTTATTAAATTGACAATAATAATTAATATATATCTAAACTCGTTTGATTTTGATACATGAAATCAATGGATCGTAAAACGAGTTTTTGTTGTTGTTGTTGTTGTTGTTGTTATTATTTTTGTTTTGGTCATTTTGAAACATTTATTATTAATCACAATCCAAAATAAGAATAATGTCGAATCGATATCAAATTGAAACAAACAAAGGAAATTGCCAATCTTGAATTCCTGAATTCAATGATCATGATGTCTAGAACACATGTCGTGTTTGTCATTTCACATTTTCATATAAAATAAAATTCTGGCTGTCAAATCATAAATTCTCTCTCTCTCTCTCTCCTCTTTCTTTGTATGTGTGTGTGTATGTAAAAAATTTTATTTTACTTTACTAAGCTGGATTGAATTTTTTTTCAAAAAACAAAAATTCAGATGAATTTTTTGCTTTTTTTGATACAAATCAATCCAGAATAAAAGACCTGTTGTAATATTATAATGTGTGACAATATTATAAAAAAAAAATGATTGCTATCGATTGGAAATTGATTCGATCGAATTGATTCTGTTTTTATTTTCTTTTCTTTTCATGATAGCCAAATTTTTTTTCTGATATTATTTCCAATGTAACGATGTATAAAAAAAACCAATAATATCAAGTTTCTGGTTATATGACTGTTATATTGGCTTTATATGGATAAATAGTCGATTATACGATGAATGAATAGATTGATAGCGATTGAGAGAAAAAAAACTAGTGTACCCAACATCACATGCAAACTTGTGATGGTGCTTGTGTTTTTTTTTACAATCGAATCTCAATGGAAAAAAAAATTCTCAAACATTTTTGGATCGACCGTTCATAGTTTCAGTCGAGTTTCAATTGCGATCCACATAGTGAATACATTGTGCGTCATGTGCTTATGACAGGTATGAAAGTTTTTTTTTTACTTTTTTTTTATTCCGTTATATTCAATGGTCGTGTGTGTGTGTGTGTGTTTGTGCGTATGTTGAAAACACAACGGTGCCACTGGCTGTGTGTGTATGAGTGTTTTTAGGGAATGAAGATTTTCTTGAAATTTGATAATGTAATGTGGTCCATAATTTCATTATACGATGATTGAGAAATGAATTGAATTTTTTTTTTCTCATACAATCCATTCTTACCTCAAAATTCCATTATAATGATGATAATAATAAAGAAATATAATCGTTGAATGAGTTTTGATTTGATTGAATTTTTTCTTTCTTTTTTCTTTTCTTAGCTCTATTAAATTATCAATACATGATGATGATCATATAATTCAATCATCATAATCATTTTGATAAAATGGAAATTATTATTATAACTACAGAATAAAAATGATTATTACAAGCAATGATGATGATGTTTGTCGCCATTCTTTATTTATAAAATAAAACACACACACACACACACGGCAATTATCGATTAATGGCACACATTTGACATATGGTGAACAATCATTATTGTTTTGGTAAATGTATTTTACATTTATGAATGAGATTCTTATGGTACCCAACAAAAAAAACGATCATCAATTTTTGATCATTAAAACCAACTATAACAATAACAATAACATAGTTATGGACAATGGACAATGAACAATAACAACAAAAAACAAACGATGATGATCAAATCGTTGGTGGTGGTGATAATGGCCTCATTGAATGTCGTGAACAAATGCTGCCTTGCAATTTTTTTTTTCGCTCATCACCACCATCATCATCATAATAGGAAACACATGTTCCGTATTTCATTGGAAGAGAAGCCAGAAAAAAATCTATAATATAAAATTATTATCGATTCATTCAATTCATTCGTCTATTCATTCATTCATTCATTCATTCTCGTATTGTTGACACTTTTTTTCCATCTTTTCTCATAAATTGCTTAGATTGTTTGATTTTTTAAATATATCATTATTGCTATTTTATCTATCCATATGCATTTGATTCGTGAATGGAATTTATACCGAAAAAAAAATTCATCATACCATAAAAACCATCATCATCATCATCATATGAACCATTGAATCATTTATTGTCTTTTTAATATTAGAGAAAAAAATCTGATTCACATAGTTAATAATAATCATAGATTAATGTTTGCGTATAAAATAATTAAAACAAAACGAAAAAATTCGTATGAACTGAATTTGAATGATGAAATATTGCCGGCATACTGTATATAATAAATGAATGAATCGATGAACTTTTTTTTTGTATTCTTGTTTCCATTAGCAATCTTTTTCCATTTAAATATTTTTGTGTGTGTGTGTGTGTGCATGGCATTTTCAACTTGAATACGGAACTTAACCAGAAAAAAAATCAAAAAAAAAAAACTCCAAGTTGATTTGAATTTAATTGGATTCTGCGTGAAGTTTTATCGGATCGAAACGGATGAAAAAAAACCGCTAATAGTTGACAAATATACGCGTGTCGTTCTTTTTTTCTTTGATGATGATGGGGGACACAATTTTAGTTCAAACCCTTTTTCGGTATCGATTTTTTTTGTTGCTATAATACTATCGGGCGATTCAGAAAAACGAAAAAAATCAACGATAAATATATTCGATTGAATCATGTGAAAAACGTGTGCCAACACATTGAACAACCCTCGTAACGCTCTTTAAGAAACCATTAATATCAGCAATTGTGAATGCCAAAAGTGAATGACAGAATCCGGATATTAATAGATTTTTTTTTTCGTTGGTGTAAAAGTGAGTAAGTCATGTTTGTTGTCAATGATTGATTCAATGATCCTTTCGCGCCTCTTGTTTTTTTCAAAAAAATATATGTGTGCAAAAAAAATCGAAGCGAAAAATTTTTTTCAATTTTTTTTTTCTCTCTCTCTCTCTCTCCTCAACTTGCATTCATTTGAAAATCCTTTGGTTTCGGTTCAAATATCGGGTGTGTGTGTATGTGTGTGTGTGAGTGTGTGTGTGTAAATGCATTTGTATTCCAATGATTTGAATTCATATATATTCAATTTCAATTTGTTACCATCGTTGTCAAGAATAGTGGGTACAACCCGATAAAAAAAACAGCCACTATTATTAATATTAATAATAATAAAAATGTGAATAAAATGAATATTTGAATGAATGAATGAATGGAATGGAATGGAATGAAATGAAAATGTAACGGCTGCCAAGACCTTGTGGTTTTTCATTGGTTGCATATTTAATAAATTTAATTACTTTTGATATATTCAACGATGAAAAAATAATAATTTTCATGCATTATAATCATTAGACTTTTACCATAACATACTGTGCATATATGTGTGTATACACTCTGGTGTCAATTGCATTATATTTATGAAAAACTTTTAAACAAATTTTTCAACCAAAAAAAAACAGGACGAAAATTGTGAAAAAAAAACAAATTTAAACCAATGAATATAGTGGTGTTAGTCAAGTTATTCCACCTTGATCACCATCACCATCATCATCATCATCATCATCATCATTTCAGAAAGAATTCTGAACAGAAAAAAAGAAAATATTTGTGTATAAATTTTGAATTCACACATCATGCTTGTTGGTTATTATCACATAAACACACATCACTCAACTTCAACTTTTTTTTGGTTTTCAAACCCTGTAAAAAAAAGATTGAAATTTTTAAAAACAAAATTAGCAAATAACTGCTTCGAAGTTTTTTTTTCCACGAACACATCATCATCATCATCATCATCATTATGAAGATGATGAAAAAAAAACACCATTGCAAGAATCACCGACCAACGAAAAAAAAAACGATTGAGTTTGCGAGTTTGCGATGTTTTTTTTTCTACTGATTCTGATGTGTGTAATCAAGATGGTAATAGTCAACAGAGGAAATACACAGCTGTTACCATGCGTATCGTTTTTTTTTCATATGCCTTTCCCTTCCTCGAATATGTCTGCGTCCCGAATCTTTTTGGTTCAAGTCGATTCTATACTATCGACTAGATGATGGTCGACTAAACACACACACACACAAATGTTCTTCAAGACTCTAACGTACTGTTGTTGTTTCCATTAACAATTAACTACAGACCATTTTTCATCATCATCATCATCATCAGCTATTGAAATTAATAGAGTCTGATAGTATGTGTGTGTGTGTGTACGTCGGAAACTACATTGTTAATGTGTATTTGTAGTTCTTTTTTTTTGAGCAATGTTTGTTCTTTAGCAAAATTAATTTATTCAGATCATGTGTCGATAATGGAATTAATTTAGCTTGATTTTGTTTTGGTTGTTGATTATTATTATTATTATTATTATGTGTTTGGTTTCTTCAATTGTTTTTTTTGTTTGTCTCTGTGAAATGTGATTCGTTATAAATACATAATACACACACACCAACACGCATACACATATGAATGATGTTTATATACAAAAAAAAAAAAAGAAGGAGGAGAAATTGGAAAAGAAAAAACTTGAAACACCCAATGATAATGATTAGGATCAAATTTATATTTTAATTATAATGATTCGCGTGATTTTTTTTCATTATCATCATCATCATCATTATTATTATTTCTATTACTTGATATTTTTTTTTTTTTTTGGGAAGAAAATTTGAATATAAATGTTGAGATTATATAATATATATTAATGACAATTGAATGAATAGATGTGAGAAAAAAAAGATGATCACTAGATGATCAAATTATAGTTTGCAATGTGTGTGTGTGTGTGTGTGTGTGTGTGTCTGTCTGTTTGGAATACATCCGGAAATTAGTGACGCTTGAAAGCTCTATTGATTGATCAATCTTCAACTTTGATTTCCGAATCTTCGTCATCGTCGTCATCATCATCATTATCATTGATATCATGGATATTATTATTAAGATGATGATGATGATCATCATCATCATCACTATGATAATCCATTTCATCATCCATTTCATCTTGATTATCTTCAAAATTGCTTAATTTTTCATCATATTCATCATCATGTTCTGAATCTTCTGTACCGGAATTCGTATGACGTATGTCATCAATATTTTTATTATTATCGCTGGATGTCTGATGATGTATGTTCATCGAATGTGATTTTCTATGTTCATTCAGATTATTAATACTGAATAATTTAGGCTTATTATTTGCATAGTTTTCTATATTATAATACAAATTATGACTCTTTTTATTGTTGTTGATACTATCACAGAAAGAATTTGTATTCGTTACTGTTGTTTTTGTCATCGATGTTGATGAAGAAGATGATTTGAATGCAGATGATTTGAGCGATGAAGAATTCTTATCATTCGTTATACCATTATGAATAGCTGATGATATCATTGTTGATTTACTACTTTTCGTATGAGATGTTGATGATGATGAATTACTATTCGTATACAAACCAACACGACCATAAACGGATGATGCAGATTTTGTACAAATTGGATCGCTGAGATCTAGATTTATTTTTCGAAAAATAACAGTAACGATATTCATTTAATTAGAATTTAAAAAAAAATATAATCACATCATCATAACAAACCAACCTGGATTTGGATTATTTTTTGTTGGCAATGTTTGTTCTCTAGTTCCACCGTTGGATAAAAGTTCTCGTTCTTTTGAATTTCGCCATTTCATACGACGATTTTGAAACCATATTTTGACCTAAAATTTAATGGAATAAATGAAAAACAAAATAACATTACAATAATAACTATTGAAGATCTCTTTCAATATCAAAAATAAATTGATTTATTCGGAAGAGCGAGAGAGAGAGTAAAAATTCTCGACCGAACATTTGTCATTCTATATAAAAGAGAGACATATAAGAGTTTTGAGAAAAAAAAATCAATTTAAGCAATTCAAGATAGATAAAAGTCAATAAGAAACAATTTACACAATTACAATATTGCCATTTTTTTTGTTAAACGAATATTTGGATCAAATTACCCATGTAGCATATGGTAGACATTCTTACATTCATTCACCATCAATGATTGTCCATCATCATCCATTTATGTGTTTATGTGTGTACAAACATAACATAACATTTTAGTGTACCAGAAGAGTCATTGGATTTTTTTCCTCTAAAGCTTTGAAACGTTTTTTTTTTTTTTGCTTCACAAGTAAATATTTAATATGCTTCTTTTTCTGTGAACCAATGATTCTGTAACCGTCACTTTAATAGCAATGATAAAATAACACCCACAAAATTAACGTCAAACTTTGATTTCTTTTCAATTGCCTAGTTTTATCTATCCATTGTATGTTTGATGTTAACTAGAATTTTGATGAAAAAAAAAAAATTTTTTTTTCTTCTTTGTTTTGCCAATTTTTTCTTCAGTCTTTGTGTGGTTTAATGTAGCCATTTTTTGTTGTTGTTGCAACGATCAACTAATCGATTTATTTTGGCAAACATATAGAATATCTAATATATTTTTCATATATAGAGATAAATGGAATAGGAAATGATTTTAATGTTGAAATTATTGCACATTCTCCATTCTGTACTTATTTTATTGGATCTATAATGTGTGATTTGATGTGCGATGATATTATCATCATCATCGTCATCATCATCATCATCGCAGTTGTTGTTTTTTCTTGATGTTGTTGTCATCCATCAATCTTATTTTTTTCTGTTGCTTGTTTTTTTTTTTTTTTTTTTTGGTTTGGGTCTTTGGGTTTTTTTCTTCATCTTTATAGAATTGGAATGTGCATCACGCACACTAAAAGTATAAATGTCTGTATGTGTGTGTGTGTGTGTGTGTGTGTGTGTGTGTGTGTAATTGAGCGATTAAAAAGAGATTAAATTTGGCTCGACATTTTATCAGCGAACATGATGATGATTTAAATGTCAAATGGTGATTGACTTCAATTAGTATCGAGTTTAATTTCAAACTATGATTTTCATGCCATTATTAACATCATTATCATTCATCTAAATTATTGTACAAAAAATAAAAATAAAAAAAATTTTGATTTCGAATCAATTCAATGATTATGATGATGCATAATTCATACATTATCAAACTATATATATATATATAGATCATCATCATGTAAAAATTCGTATCAATTACATAATCACCATCATCATTATCAAAAACAAAGATGATGATGATGATTATGTGATTTGATCATCAATTGAAAAATATTGATGAAATTGATTCAATGAATGCAATGATTTTTAGAAACAATCATGTACAATTTATAAAAATGCATACATCACGCCTTAAATTGAATGTATGTATGTATGACTAACAAATTCTCTCTCTCTCTCTCTCATTTCAATTCAGATTCATATTTAGATTCGTTTTTTTTTCAGTATTCCGTTCTTGTCGTTGTCATCTTGTTTTTCGTTCTTGTTGTTGTACTTTTTTTTGTGTGTGTGTGTGTGTGTAATGTGAACAATCATTTTATTATTCAGATATATCTATCTATCCTGTATGCGGGATGTGTGTGTGTGTGTGTGTACATGTGTTGCTTACAAAAATCGAATAAAAATCATCAACATTAGATTCTTTTGTTTGGGTATAAGGACATTTGGTTCGTTCATCATCATATATTGTATCGAATATTTAAATCAAATAGAAGAGAAAAAAAATGAAAATAAAAACGTAATAATATGGCATTAGGTAATGGTTTTCTATGGAAATGAATTGAATAAATTGTACACGAATCATCATCATCATCATCATCACACACGCACACAGATTTAGATTAAATGATTTTATGTTTAAAATTGAATTCGATTACTCGATGATGTTGATGTTGTTGTTGATGATGATGATGATGATGATGATGATGATTCAGATGAAAACTTGTCGAGTTCTCTTTTTCTATCATTTTATTGCCATTATTCTAATTCAACAATCGATAACGAAAAAAAAAAAATTTTTTTTCGCTGTAATCATCAATGTATGATATCTTTTCTGCGGCATTACGAAATTATGTTACCACACATCTATAAAGATCAAAAATGTGTGTGTGTGTGTGTGGTACCAAACAATAACAACAAAAATTATCATTTTACAATGGATATATATAAATACGATTTTCATTCACACTGTTTACTCATATATATATATAAAGATAAATAAAATAGAAACTGGATTAAGTTTGGCAGCAGTTTGAATTCTTTCAGATGAATAGTGATGATAGGTATTGTGTATGTTGTGTGTGTGTGGTGTTCCAGATGATGGCACCAGATGTTGGTTAAATATCAAGGCCACAAGTGCCCATTGAAAAAAAAATCAAATGAAAAAAAGAACACAAAAGGCATCACATTATCACTTGTATTGAATCTTTAGAATTTTAGTACACTGTATTGTATGTGCAAGTGCAATACTACTATATGTTAAAGATTCATTTTTTTCATTTGGGACTAGTTTTTTTCGCTTGAAATTTTTTTTGTTCAACTCTATTCTTTTTAATAATAAGCACTGAAACTTGATTTAAAAAACTTAATTGTAATTATTATATGATGATCATGTTCATATTGTATAAATATTTTGATAAATCTATGAAAATGACGAAAAAAACTTACTTGTGAATCTTTTAAACCAAGTTTTTCGGCCAATTTTTTCCTATCTGGTTTACTAATATATTTTTGCATTTGAAAACGTTTCTCTAGGCCTTGTCGTTGGGCATCAGAAAATACGGCACGACGCATCATTCCTCTTCGTGGTTTACCTCGGGTTGCCCATGGAAAACCGGCAGCAAATGATAAGCTTGCCAATGGCCGTAAACCTACTGATGATGGATTGGTTACTGATGCTGCTGCTGCTGTTACTGATGATGATGATGGTACGGCTGTTGCAAGAACATTTTGTGCTGATGTTTGATGATGATGATGATGATGATGATGATGACTGACATTGGTTGATGAATTTACAGTAACCGTATTTAATATGGATGATGGAGGCGGCTGTTGTACAGCCGTACTCGTCACATTTGATGACGAAGTGCTTGATGATCCACCACCACCACCACCACCAGCATTTGAACCTATTGTCAACGACAGCATGAATGGAAATGAAAATATTATTCTTTAGATTTAACATTATTAACTAAATAACAGTTGTGTATGTGTGTGTGTGTGCTGTGCGTGATTGATCCTTGACACGTGAAGGACAAACAAACATTGAAAAACTGATTGTATATTCAATTAAACTTAAACCATTGAATGTTTTAAAAAAAAAATTTTTTTTTATTTATTCCATACATATACACACTGATATTAACCGTTACAATTTATTCTAATTGCCAATTGCAAAAAGGATAATAATAATGATAAGTAATAAAAATGCAAATTAGATTCATTTCGTATTAAGTGTTCGTTTTACGTTTTTGTGTTTGCTAATATGGACCAAAAAAAAAAAAAAAAAAAAAATGTATTGCAAAATTATTTTTGAAGAGATTTCAATTTTTGATGATAATTTGTTTGTGTAAGAAAAATTTAAATGACAATTGAATTGTAAAATACTAGTTGCATTTTATTTATTAAAATTCTTTACAGATTTATGTTGTGAGAATTATATTATTATTATTGTTATTATCATTATTTACATTGGAAAAAAATTACTTACCAACTAAATATGATGATCTTGATGAGAAAAAATTATGAAAATCAATCAAAGGACGGTGTGCATTATTTGTTGATGAAACGATTGAAACGGGTGATGATTGTGATGATTTATTATTATTGTTTAGGCCATTTGCATAAAACGATGGGACATTCGATTTCAATCCATTTCGATCTGTGTGTGTTTGTGTGTGTATGTGTGTGAAAAAAAGAAAGAAATTGCCATTTATTAATCGATATAATATCATTCTTGTGTGTGTGTGTGTATTTTATTTTAGTTTAGATTATTATTAGCGATAAACGATTTTATTATTATTCTAACTGCAAAGGTAAATTTTTCTTTTCAAGATTCTTTTTTTATAGTGTTCTTGTCACGATCAATGAAAAAAATATATGAGGTTTCCATTATGTGTATTTCTATCATGTGTGTGTCTTGAAAATTGAATCATCAAAACAAAACAAAAAATGACAGCTAATTAATGAATGAACAACACGAGCATAAACACACACACACACACACTTATATATTGTATTGGATGTTCAACAAGTTAAATTCCCGTCATTTTACAACAATTAGATCATGTGATTTGACGGAAAAGAAAAACAATAATTGTTCAAACAATAGAAAGGAAAAGAATAGATATTATCGTTTGTTTTTTTTGTTTTTGTTTTTTTTCGCTCAACTGAATAAAAGATTTGAGCATCAATAAATGTATCGAGCTTCATCATCATATATTATTATTATAACATTGAAACATTAAATGTTTGCAATGCATGTAACGATTTTTTTTGTGTTGTATCACACAATACACAAAGATGTATGTGTCTGTCATCATCATCATCATCATCATTGATCATATTCGTCGATAAACAAGAAAAAAAAACTTAACGATTCATCAAATACATTGTCGAATTAGACACGCATATTTCTAATTTTTTTTCTGACGATATTCGATATGATCATAATTAATAGTCAATTAGAACATGATGATGATGATGATGATCATTTAACAGCAGCAGAAGGCTTTTTTCAATTGAATTGATGATCATAATCATGAACATCATGAGGGAAAAAAAAAAACATAAAAATATATCCGAAACAAAAACAGCAAAAAAAAAAAATCTCATTAATTAATCTCATCATCATATGGTTCATCTATATTGTCTTCTAATTGGTATCTTTCATCAAACGATCATCAAACGAACAAAATGAAATGGTTTTTTTTTTTTGGTTGATTATTGAAAAAAACAAAAAGAAAAACAAAGCTTTTTTTTTTTTTTTTTTCATGTCATCGTTTTGTATCTTATAAACTTATATAGAAAAAAAAATGATTAAAGCCAAAATGGTCAGAAAAAAAACGCCACTGGATAGATAGATAGATAAATCTCAATATGAATCAACAATAATAAACAGAATGAAAACGTGCATCACGATCACGATAATGTTATTGTTGTTGATGATGATGATGATGATTGGGAGAAAAATCCAATCGATGGTTTCAATATAGACATTATATGCTCATAAAAAAAAATTTGAGAACATAATTAATATAAAAATAATAGTAGTAGTAGTAGTAGTAGTAGTTAATATTTGGCAAATGATTATCATCCATCCATCCATACATGATGTAGAAAATGGAAAGAGAAGAAAACAATGTTTAAAACAATACAATTTTAATCATCGATTATGATGATGATGATGATGATGATGATGATGATTTGATCACGTTCATTCATTAAAAGCCTGCCGCCGATTTTTTTTTTTTTGTTTTGTTTTGTTTTCGTTTTTTTTTTTCAACTATTGTCATGTAATCATATGTCGATCATTTTGCATATAAATACTTTACATGATGTTGTTTACAAATATTGTTGACAATATTGGGTTTCAATAGTTTGTTTTTTTTGTTGCTGTTGTTGTTGTTGATATGTAAAAAAACCTGCCTAAAGGTAAAATCTACCTAGTCTGATCGATTAATCATTTAATGTGTATAATGATGATGATGATGATGATGATGTTTTTCTTTCCTTGTTCAACATTAATTAATCACATTCAGACAACAATAAGGATAATGGTGGGGGATCAGATTTAGCTGGTGAATTATATGACCATATGATGATTGTAATGTATTTTCTCCCTTTTTATATAATTTTATTATATTGAAATTAACTTGTTCATATGACACAAACACACACACACACTCGCAATTATTATTTGAATATAATTTGCTAATTCAACAATATATAAATGAATATATCAAATCAAGAGATGGTGGTGTTTCCTATTTTTTGAATATTTGCATTTTGTTCACTTTCATGGCCATACTAAATAGTCATCGTCTTTGTTGCAATTTTTTTTCTTTCGACCATTTTTTTGCATTGGGATAATTAGTCAGATTTTTGTTGTTGTTTCTCTTTTTTTTTCTAAGCAAGAAAAAAAATTTCATCGTTTTTCTCATCACCATCATTTTTTTTTTTCTTCATTCACCTGGTACCTTGAATAAATTTTTTTGTTTTGTTTTGTTTTTGGTTCTTGTTTCAAACAACAACAACAAGAACGGAACAAAGGATAGTGATGAGAAGACGAGAAAAAAAAAAAAATCAAAAATTCTTGCGTGCGAAAAATATTTTTTTTTTAATTTTTTTCAGATTTTGGCATAGCAGAGCAAAGTAAAGTTTAGTGAAAATATAATGGGAGAAAAAAAAAACGAAAATTTTCTATTCTATTCAATCTAATCTACCCAAAATCTGGATGGGTAGTTTAGTTGTGTGTGTGTGTGTGTGTGTTTAGGTTGATGGCACGCTTTTTTTTATGGCAGCAACATAGACAAGTCTTGAAACAACTTTATATGCATGTTTTGTGTGTGTATATGCTGGGTATATATATATAATGACTTAATTTGACTTGCCTGTTGCATAGTGATGTGGTTGTAGTAGTGTGTTTGTGTTTTTTTTTATCCAGTATCATTTGAAATTTTTTTTTTTTGTAGTAGAAAAAAAAGTCACCATCATTGGCTGGCTTATTAGCATTTAATTATAGGTTATATGATGTGTGTGTGTTTGTGTTGAGTGAAAAAAAAAGTTTTTTTTTCTCCAAAGCTTAACTACGGTAAGATTGGTGATGCACATGGCTTAAATGTGATTGTTGTTGCTGTTGTTTGCTATTGCAGGTATTGCAGGTACAGTCAATTCAGTTCGCTAAGCTAAATCGTGTTGTTGCCGCCATTCAAACACATTAATCAAAGACTGAATTTTTTTTTTTTTTTTTTGGTATGCAAAGAAACAAAAAAGCCAATGACTTTTAATTGCTTCTAATCGGTTATAATGATGATGATGATGAGCATTTATATATACAACAACAACAAAAAAAACTTCACAGAAAATCAAATGCATATTATTGTTATATGTGTGTGTATAAGAGACAGGTAATACAATAAAAATGATTGCTTATAATTCACAATTCATAATTGTATCAATAAAATGATCTTGATTGCTTTTGAATATAAAATATTGAAACAAAACAAGAGAAACAAAAAAAAATTCACCATTAATATATACATAAGGTGCTCATAATGATAATAATAATCATTATTATTATGTACAACAAAATATATAATCATCATGATCATAATCATTATCGGAAATTTTTTTTTAAAAAAATTTCTATAGAAAAGTGGGCGTGTTTTTTTCTTTATCCAAATGAATCAATCAATCAATCAAGCAATCAAATCAAAAAAAAAAACAAATTGTTTGTTTCAACTATATAGAATAAAACAAAACAAAAAAAAAAAAACATTCATGAATATAATGACTATATATTAAATAAGGGGAAATTATTCTAACAAAATTTAAAAAAATGGAAACAGAATCCATTACAAATTGTTGATTGATTATCATGTTTGAAAAAAGGTAAAATATTGACAAATAACAAATGAAAATGATTTAATATTCATGTTATTAAAACAAAGAAACTGGAGGTAAAAAAAAAATCATTGGCACCAATCAGTAAATATAGATGGCGAGAAAAAAAAACCAACTGAACAACGCCTCATTCTAAATAATACATAACGATGATCATCATGATATAATAATATAATCATTACCTCTAAATCATTTTTTTCTCTTTTCTCTTATGTTTCGTAATTTCACCACATTTAAATGTAATTATTAGTTTGTGTGTGTGTGTGTGTGTGTTGATGTAACATTAAATGAAAGAAATGAATCATTCATTATTACTTTCAACATCTAATAATTTCGATATATTCTTTCAATTCAAGTGAATCAACAACCTACAATCTTCAATAAAATCAAGACCAGACATGATATTTTACTTGTCAGATTATAATACAGATTACTCATACTGGTAATCATAACCGATTGATGATTAGTGCCATTGGATTTTTGGATAATAAAATAATCCATAACAATTATTTGTAATGAATATTAAACAAATTATTATTTCTTCTTTTCATCATCATCATCATCATCATCGTATCGTTCAGTCAATCATGTAGGCAGCTAGAGTTAATGTCTTTATCTCATCTATTAATATATCGATCGATTAAATATAAGATAAGAGAAACGATAATTTTCTTTTTCATTCAGCTTGATTCAATAATTTAGTTATTACAAAGTGAAATGAATTAATTTTCTTAAATGGTTTTTTCTTCTCTCTCTTTTCTCTACATTATCCTGTATTATTGTAGTCTGTTTCTTACCTTTATTATTTGTATTGATATTTTTATTATGATGTTTTGTTTCCAATGATGATGATGATGTTGTTGTTGTTGATGATGATGAAGAAGTCATAGTTGTTGTTGTTGTTGTTGTTGTCGACAACGATGATGATGATGATGATGATGGGGTTGTAGATGATGATTTACAATCGGATGCAAGTATAGCATTAACACCGAATTTTAATTGTTTTGAAGAATTATTATTTGCTGCGGTGATATTATTATTACTAATAATAGAAGGTGATGAAAGATTTGAATGATCATCCGAATGATAATCACCACAACATTCTAAATCATCACAATCAT